TCTCGGGGCCCAGGCCGACGGCTCAAACCCACCCCCGAGACTATCCACCGTATATCCAGAATAAAATAAAAATAAAATGACAAAAGAAAAATGACAATTACCATCCCGTAACATGTTTAGAGGTGGAAATGATGCGAATTCCGTTGCCGCCCACGGATGAGGAGGATACGGTAGGTTTCGGATTTTTGTGAGGTTAGCTCTGACTCGAACCCGAGGCTCCTAATTCCGCAATGGATCTCTGCTCGCGGCCTAAAATTTCTTAGGTCTAAGGGTGTCTGGATTCATTTTAAAGGGTGATGCCCGTAGCCGCCAAAAATGGGAGGTCGTGCGGTGTTTTAAAGTGTCCATAGATTTCGCCGCGACACGCAACACGCCGCCTCGCGGTCAGTTACGTGATGGAACAGTTTTTGCTGTTGTTTTTTTCTCCCCCCCCCGGGGGGGGGTTTAGCAAAAAATTTTTTTTTAAAATTTTGGGGGGGCAAAAAAAAAATATTATAATATATTTTAACATCCCCCAGGGGGGGGGGGAAACCAAAAACCCAAACGAAATGAAAAAAAACCAAAAGGCCCCCCCGGGGCGGGGGGGGGGGGAAGAAAACCCCCCCGACTCTCCGTTTTTTATAAAAAAAATTAAAGGAAAAAAAAAAAAAAGAAAAAAAAAAAAAGTTGGGGGGGGGGGAAGTTTCAAGGTGCGCAGGGTAGCGTGTGCGTCGCGTGTCATCACTTACGGCATTGCGTCGGAGGTTAAAAAATCCATAGCCATGCCTTGCACGTCCCTTTAAGCCGTACATGATTAGAGAAAAGACCGGAATCCTCGTCTCTCTCTCTCTCTCTCGCTCTCTCACTCGCTTTCTCTCGCTCTCTCTCGCTCTCTCTCGTTCTCTCTCTCGCTCTCGCTCTTTCTCTCTCCCTCTCTCCGCTCTCTGGTGTTTGGGAGTGCCGGGGGCTGTCCTCCCCTCAGCCGGGACCGATTTTTCCCCGGGAAAAAGACGCGGGATGCGGGGGGACGCGTACCAAGCCGTGATAGGACCCGAGGGCCTCACCCCCTTGACCAGACAAAACCCCCCCCCCCCACACCCATTCCCCGTATTCGGGTGCAAGAAAAAACGCGGACACGCAACAAGCTAGAGGGTGGGGGGAGAAACCAAAAACTCTTCTAAAATCGCGTAAAAATGCCGGAAAAAAAGAGAGGGGGGGTATAAGGAGAGAGCGAGAGAAGAGAGAGAGAGAGAGAGAGAGAGAGAGAGAGAGAGAGGAGAGAGAGAGAGAGAGAGAGAAAGGGAGAGAGAACGACTGAGGGGAGAGACGGCGGGTTTTGCCGTTTACAGTGACTCCTATACTGCTCTTCAATTTTAAAGCAACCCCTCCTACAGTAACCCCAGACAAATCCGCCCGCACAAAAAAATGGCAAATTCCGTGGGCGAAGCGACGGGGGATCCCCCGCTGCGGGATCCCACCTGTCTTTTTGAGCAAAAACCTGCGAGCGTCCGTCCCTCGCTCTCTCTCTCCCTCTCTCTGTCTTTCTCTCTCTCTCCTCTCTCTCTCCCTTTCTCCCCTTTCTCTCTTTCTCCTCTCTCTCTCTCCTCTCTCTCTCGCACTCTCTCTTTCTCTCTATCTTCCTTTTTCGAATTACTAAAATGCGCACCGGCCAGTGAGCCCGAAGAGAGGCCAGCTGTACGAATTTTGAGCTAAATTTGGATGCGGCCCGGGTTTGGCTACAGAAATCTGTGCGGGAACACCTGGGGGAAAAAGTTGTTTGTTGGGATTTTGGAACGGGAGATGGAAAGGAAAGTAATGTGGGGTGGATTGGGAAAATATTTCTTTGTTGGTGTTGTAGCATAGACGTGAGAGGTGGAGAGAGAAAGGGAGAGAGAGACAGAGAGAGAGAGAGAGAGAGAGAGGGGGGGGGGGGGGGGGGGGGGGGGGGGGGGGGGGAGAAAAGAAAAAAGAAGAGAGAGAGAGAGAGAGAGAGAGAGAGAGAGAGAGAGAGAGAGAGAGAGAGAGAGAGAGAGAGAGAGAGAGAGAGAGAGAGAGAGAGAGAGGGAGATAACAATCTGCAGATGGGAAGTCAGCGGAGACTTTTGGAAAGCGTTTTGTATTAGCAATTTTTAGGCAGGAGACAACCTCGAATCCGACATCTCTGCTTCCGACACACTCCGCTCCTCCGGTTCCGAACTCAGCGGAGCACGACTTTTAATAGCAAAGGGCCGGAAGGAAGAACCGAAAATGCAAGAGGAGGTACATTAGAATAACTATTAAGCGCTCATCGAGTCTGAAAATCAAGCTCAAAACGCTGTCACCATTCCTTTAAAAGGTTAGAGATATCGAAAACCGCTTTCAGATCAACGTCCCGGGTACGGTACCTCAAAAGCATCCAAACCAGACACGAATCACAAAGGTGGGTGTGATTGGGAACTTTTTATGGGCGAGTTCTGACTTCAGAAAGACGCATCTATACGCCGGAATCGAAGCCGGACGGTGACGTTTGAAGGATCGAGGTTGGAAAGGACTACTTGAAAGCTATAGTTGTAATTCAGATCCGAGCCCCGGTTGGCCACCACCGCCTCTCAGGCGACGTTCATCATCGAGCATGACCGTCGGAAGCCGTGTGTTGTGGCTGTCGGCTTGACTGAAGGTGATTTTAGCTTCTCAATCGTAGACGGATGCCTAAGCCTAAGCTAGGCCTACGCTAAGCCTAAGTTAAACCTAAGCTAAGCCTAAGCTAAGCCTAAGCCAAGCCTAAGCTTTACTTTAGCTGCCCTCCAATATCGACATCAACAAAAAGAAAAGGAAAATGCCGAGTTGGAGAAGAGGAGGCTCGAAGCGAAGGCAGAAGAGGACAAGCGGAAGGAGGAAGAGCGGAAGAGGGAAGAGGAACGATTACGGTATGATATTCAGAAATTTATTCATCGTTCCGAAATTTAGAGAAGAAGCCAAAAACCGACCAAAAGACCCGAGGGACCTGAGGAAGAAGGTCGACTCTGGGAGACCAAGAAATTCTCCGCCCAAAACCGAAATACCGCATCACCACCATCACCATGAGGGCAGGGAATGGTAAGAAATCGATGGCATGCTAGCAGAGATCCTTGAGGAAAGACGGAATACTGTCGACCTTTTACTTTTCAGCAAGCGACACTCGATTCACCAAGAGGAAAAGTCGAAGCCAGCGATGAAAAGTGCAAGGAGTATTGCCGTGGAATCGAAAAGAGAAGCTGAGCCAAAAGTAAGCCAGATTTGTTGAGAATGAGCATCAGCTTAATTTAGCAATTATCAATTAACTATTTAATCTAATTTAATGAAAATAATTTAGATAGTGGAGTCCCCGAAAAAGAAGGAAGACCGCTCCCCGAAAGCCGAATCTCCACTTCCGGCGAAGGAAAATGTTAATGTGGCCGGTGTAGAGAAAGAGCGAACTAAGGAGAGGAAGAAGGTAATTGATAACTTTATTAATCGAATTTTGTCTATAATTTAGCCGTCTCCTATTGCAATCCCGATCGATGAAATCGTTCCCGAGGCAGCCCCGGTCAGCGACAAAATCCCGAAGCGAATCCCGGAGGATGCAAAGTGAGTACAATTTTATATTTTCGGAAAGCGTTAGATTTTTTAGGTGACGTTTTTAATTAAAAAATACCCTTTTATTTTTTGGAAAAAAAGGAATGCTAGTTTCATTTTTAAGGGGATTATTTTCGCATTCTTTTTTAAAATTGCGGATTGATTAATATCAAATTAGTTTAACCTTACTGTGGCTATAAATAAACATAATAAATTTTAGATTTAAAGAAGCTTTATAATCTGATAAAAAATATGGAAAATAGCGTATCAAAAGTACCATAGTTCTATGCGATTTTTCAGCGCCTACGAGTACATCTCCGTGTTCGGCGCCCGCCCGAAAGTGCCGAGAACCCCCGAGAAGGACAAGAAACCCACCAATTCTGTCCTGCTTTATTAGCTCGATTTTTTAGCGATTCTAATACGCTATAATTAGCCGTTAAACTTACCTCACCCGCCCCGAAATCTCGATCGATTCTCAGATTCTCATTTTTGCAACCCAGGATGTGAACTCTATGCCCTGATGCTATTGGTGCTTTGAATTTTCTATTAAAAAAGGAATAAAGTTTTTAAAAGGTATCGTAATGCGCTGGAAATCCTGAAAGATGACTGCTAGCTTGCCTCATTTGCATCTTCCTGCTCATTTTAAAAAATTTAATTTCTCAGCTAGCTGGCCTTCCTACAGAATCTCTGTTGAATCGTCTTTTCCACAAAATCACTGCTAGTCTGCCTGTCTAAAAAGGGTTCTGATAAAGAGGAATTTCTGATAGCCTACCTTCCTTAAAAATCTTTGCTAGCTTGCTTCCCTACAAAATCTCTGTTCGCGTGTCATTTCCTAAAGAATCTTTGTTTTCCTACCCTTCCCTAAGGATCTCTGCTGGTAGGCCTCTTCCTAAATAATCTCTGCTAGCTTGCCCTTCCCTAAGGATCTCTGCTGGTAGGCCTCTTCCTAAATAATCTCTGCTAGCTTGCCCTTCCCTAAGGATCTCTGCTGGTAGGCCTCTTCCTAAAGAATCTCTGCTAGCTTCCCTTCCAAAAGAATCTCTGCTGGCTTGCTCTTTCCAAAAAATCTTCGCTAGTTTGCCTTCTGAAGAATTTCTGCAAGCCTGCCTGCTCAAAGAGTCTCTGCTAGCTTGCCGTCCTCAAATATTTCTGCCAGCCTGCTGGTTCCGAAAGAATCTCTGCTAGCATGCCAGAATCTTCATCCAATTTCAATTCCAATGCAATATCCTTTATGTTCCACACCCGAATCGATCAAAAAGACACATCAGCTGAAGATTATCACAAAAATGCAGAAGGCATCAATTTGGAGGTGAGCAGAAAAGTAAAAAAATCACAGAAATCGCCAGAGTAACCGTGGAAAAACCGCATATAGTATATAAAGATGGTTTGGAAAGGAAATAACAACTAAAAAAATTAAAGCTAAAAAATCTTTGAAAAATCGATATCTAGAGTGGGTCCCGATAGGCGGTGATATGCATGAAGGAGACCGTCTTTGAGAGGGCATTGTCGCGTTCGGATCTGAAGATATTTTTGACTTGAGTAGACATTTAGAGCTTAATATGACGGGATTTGGGATCGTAACAAAATCTCTGCTATCTTGCCTCAAAAAGAAATTCCTCAGGCAACCCTGCTAGCCTGCCTAGGCTTTATCAAACGGTGGTTTCTCCATTTCCGAAAGAACCTCTGCTAGCCTGCCGTTGGTTTTGCTTCCCCAAAGATCTCCGCCAGCCTGCACTGAATTCTGATCTTTAAAAATAAGTTTTTTTGGACCGCAAAATTCTTAAAGAATCCCTGCTAGCTTGCCTAAATCTCAAAATTGCACTGCCAAAGCTGCTGTTAGCCCACCTACCCTTATTCCCAAAAACTTTCTGCTAGCCTGCCACTTGACCAAAGATAGAGCCTCTCAAAATCCTTTTTCTATTTTTTCAATTTTCCGAAACGCACCTCATCGCGACGACATTTCCGGATTGCCGGGCGACAAATAGACGGCGATGATTTGCGGAGAATACTGTAGCTATTACGGGGTCACCGGCGGAACCTAAAAATCTGTTGTCTTTTGTAATAATTTGAATACCAGCGGGGGAGGAGCCGCTTCGCGACTCTCCCCCGCTGGATCCCGTCTAGGCCCTATTAATCGAGCGCCCTTCCACATAAAGTTACCTTGAAGCAAGAAAAACCCATCTTCCATGCAAACCTCTTTGTATTGACATGCGGCGCAAACTTGAAATGCTAGTCTCGTTATTAAGCCTGCGGCGCATGTTCCATCGGCTAGGTAGCTATCTCATCCTGCGGCCCAAGCTTGAGGGATTAGCCTCCTTTTTTGGCCTGTGGCGCCAGATTAAGCGGTTTGCTTCAAGAATAAGCCTGCGGCGCAATTTGAACGGTCACCTCCCTCTTTAAAGCGCACGTTCAGGGAGGGGCCGTGTACTCGTCCCAACGTGTACACCCTATGGACGTAGGGACCGGGCGCACTGCCTGCCCGTGCTGTGACAGGCCATTCCCCTCCTTTGCGGGGTGGGGCGCCCCTCACCCTCTGGCCAGGTTGTAGCTGTGGCTGACTGGTATCCATCCGCGCCTCCCGAGCGGGGGGCCCGGGTTCGACCCCCGGCGGCGGCAAAAATCTTTGGTTTTTTCCAAAAAACGTCCCTGAACGTGCCCTTTAAGCCTGCGGCGCTAGCTTCAGTGGTTGGCTTTATTCCTTAGCCTGCGGCGCCAGCTTGTGCGGCTGGCTTCGTTCTCAAGCCTGCGGCGCTAGCTTGTGCGGCTAGCTTCGTTCTAAAGCCTGCGGCGCTAGCTTGTGCGGCTAGCTGCGTTCGCAAGCCTGCGGCGCTAGCTTCAGTGGTTGGCTTTATTCCTTAGCCTGCGGCGCCAGCTTGTGCGGCTGGCTTCGTTCTCAAGCCTGCGGCGCTAGCTTGTGCGGCTAGCTTCGCTCTGAAGCCTGCGGCGCTAGCTTGTGCGGCTAGCTTCGTTCTAAAGCCTGCGGCGCTAGCTTGTGCGGCTAGCTTCGCTCTGAAGCCTGCGGCGCTAGCTTGTGCGGCTAGCTTCGTTCTAAAGCCTGCGGCGCTAGCTTGTGCGGCTAGCTTCGCTCTGAAGCCTGCGGCGCTAGCTTGTGCGGCTAGCTTCGTTCTAAAGCCTGCGGCGCTAGCGAGCGGCTGGCTTCGCTCTGAAGCCTGCGGCGCTAGCTTGTGCGGCTAGCTTCGTTCTCAGGCCTGCGGCGCTAGCTTGAGCGGCTCGCTTCGTTCTAAAGCCTGCGGCGCTAGCTTGTGCGGCTAGCTTCGTTCTAAAGCCTGCGGCGCTAGCTTGTGCGGCTAGCTTCGTTCTGAAGCCTGCGGCGCTAGCTTGAGGGATTAGCCTGCATCTTTAGCCTGCGGCGCTAGTTTCAGTGCCTGGCTGGATTCGTTAGCCTGCGACGCAGTTTAAAGCGACTGGCTTCAGAATAGCGCCTCCCTACAGGAAAATACACTTCGAAACATGCATTCCGAACATACAGCAAAAAAAAAAATACGATAGCCGGGGACCGAACCCCCGATAGCAAGATTGGCAGGCTGACGCTCTGACCGCTATACCATGAAATGCTTGGGGCGCGCGAGCAACACCTGTATGCCCCGAGGTGACTGCCGGGAAAGGGGAGCAAAGGCAATCGGAGGCAGCTCCAGTGAGGCAGCCAAACTCGCGAGTGCAACTGGCAAGAATGAGGAAATTTGTATTTTCTCGCATTATGCAAATTAGCCCTCAGGGACCCCCAAAAATGAATAAAACCGGCCTTAACTTTGTAAACTTGTATTTTATCGAAATTCTGAAAACGCCATCGGAAACAGAAGGGTCGATTCCCCCGGGTGACGGAGAATTAGGGCATTTTATGCACGGGAAGGCCCTCAAATCGGGCCTCGAAAGTGACATCCACACACACACACACACATACGCGACCAAATTATATAAGGTGGGATTACCCAGGTTTTCGGCTGGATTGCTGATTTTCCCAAATTCGCGTACTCCCCACAGGTCGATGACGCTGAAAGAAGTCATTAAAATTTGACTAGAAACGCCGAAAAAGATTTTCTGCGTAGCGAAGGGTATCGTAGTGTAGCGTACGTTTGCGTGTCACATCGTTTAAAATGTGGAAAATTCTAGCACTTTTTACGGTATCGTAACGTAACGTAACGTGGCGTATCGTAATGTTTGCTATCGTAGCCTGGCGACTTGTACAAGAATCATCGTATCGTAAGGTATCGTAGCGTAGTCGTATCGTAGTGTATCTGTATCTTAGCTACCGTAACCTCTCGGAGTGTCCAGTAAGCTTGCGTATCTTTGCTCACGTAGTTTGCCGTATTCAATTGCATCGTGGCGTGATAAGCAGTGGCGTAGCATTCAATAGTACGATCGTAGCGACAGTAGCGTAGCGGAGCCTATCTTACCGTATAATCCCATCCGAACATCCGCATAGCAGCGCATTAACGGCAGTTCCCTCTGGTAATTCGCTGATGGTGATCGACGTGACGATGCAGTCCAATTCTGCCGTCCCGATGATGTCACCGTTTATCTGAAGGGTACTGTAATACGATAGATACCAAAGAACCCACCGAAAGTAGCTGTACACGGCTGCCCTCCTGAGTGGGCGTGACTATGGCAATGTCACCGGATACTCGACTCATCGTCATGGCACTCAACGGAGGCCCAGGTTGGGTGAGGCAGCGGACGAAGCTCAAGCTATATCACAAAATTTAGATTTTCCGGAACGGTAATGGCAGGCTAGCAGAGAATCTTTAGGATTACGAGAGCAAGAAGCAAGCCAGCAGCAATTTTTTAGGATGGACAGGACAAAGAGAGAGAGAGAGAGAGAGAGAGAGAGAGAGCGAGATAGAGAGAGCGAGAGGGAGAGAGAGACAGAGAAAGAGCAGAGATTTTTGAGGAATAAGTCTCCTCAAAAATACCTATAAAAGGTTAGGTCCCTCAGAAAATTAGGCATTTTAGCAGAGACTCTTGAGGAACTGCAAAGCTTACCCATTCCGGTCCCAAAGTACCACCCGTCCGGCGGAGCATCCCGTAATTATCGACGAGAATTCGTCGCACACGAAAATTGTGTGAATCGCGTTCGAGTGGGCCAAGAGTTGGCCTCGTAGTGACATTTCGTGAAGACCCTGAAATCGAGGGTTGTGTTTTAAAGGGATCAGCCAGGCAAGTAATCCGTAACCCCTAAACCGACCCACCTCGTCGTCAAAGCGTACGTTGTACACCGAAATGACGCCGCTGGCAAAGCCGAGGAAGAGTAGGCCAAAGTTGGAATAAGCCATGGCGGTGACCTAAGCTTTTTGCTAAAGTTTGCCCTTAATATCGTACCGTTCTGGCGCCGACATCAATGGCGTTGATCCAGGCCTGCTGGGGTTGGATGTGCTTGTCGATGAGGTGGATGCGGAAGCGGATTAGACCGGATGAAGGGGTGGGAAGACAGAAGATACCGACAACTGTTGCAGCTGAAATAAGGAAGTATACTAATGGGGGGAGATTGGAGATCTTTGGAGGCAAGCTAGCAGAGATCATTGGAGAATTTTTGCAGGGGATGATGGCTACGGGTTAGCAGAGAATATTTAGGATTTTTCGAGGGACGACAACGAACTTTTTACTTATGGACTAATTTTTCAAATATAATTAGTGGAAGTGTTTCTAAATGATTTTTTATTTTTCTAAAATTTTAAACCCCCAAAATTTTTTTTTAAAAAAATAAAAATAATTATTTTTTTTTGGTTTTTAAATTTTTTATTTTTTTAAAATATATATTTTTTTAAAATATAGTTATATATTGCTGAAAACGCTATTAAACCATTTTCTATAACTGTTGCTAGGCATTTCTAGACTAATACAACAAAAAGTTCGTCTCTCTGGGAATTCTCGAGCGTTCAGGCAAGCCTAGCAGAGACTTTTTCGAAAGCTTTTACATACCTTTCAAATCCCTTGCCGTCGTTGTCGCAACAATCATATTACTCCCACACCCGACGACAATATTGTCGGGCAACAGGCTCAAGCACGATATCCGATCCCTCGTCGCTCGATGCTTCCAGAATGCTACGCATTGCCCGAGTACCGGACTGCCCACATATTCTCCCCAGCTGAAGAAATCAATAAATTCTAAAAACTACCCTCCTACCGTATATTGTCCACGGAAGCACACGGGATACCGTTGATTTTCTCGCCTTTTTGCTCGCTGGGGGTTAGGTGGGGTTGGTGTGGGGCCTAAATTGGCATAAAAATCACGATATTTTTGGGTTTGAAAGTGAATAGGAAGGTAGGACAGCAGGCAGACTAGCAGAGATTTAGGAAGATTACGAGTCGGCGCCTCTTGGCCCCGTTAATCCGCAATCATCCTACTTACGTTGAAAAGTTGAGTCGGCATCTGGCCGTACGTCCGAATTATCGTAGCTCGTGCTCCTCGGTCCACCTCATCGCCCATGTCGGCCTGTGCAATGTTGGCCATGTGGGTCTAAAACGAAATAGATTTTTAGCGCTCTCCCTCTTTATCGTTTTCTTTCTTTTTCTCTCTCTTTTTTTTTCTCCTCCCCTTTTTTTTCCCCCCTCTCTCTCTCTCTCACTCTCTCTCACTCTCTTTCACTCTCTCTTGCCTCATAAAACCTTACCAGTGGATGGAAAACATTCATCGCCTCCTTTGCCGCTTTCCCATTCTGCTTGAACCCAAAAATCAAATCGATCCAATGGTGGAGATTCGCGACGACGTATGCCGATTCTAGGGCCTAAAATTCTGACTTCTAGGATTTTTCTTTAGCGTACCTGTCGATTGATAAGGGTGAAGAGCCGGAAGGCGTTTGAGGGGACCCATGGTGGGAGCATGACGTCGTTCACCTCCTCATAGCTCTGCCGAACCCCGAGATTCAGATTGTGACGATTTTGGAGGAATTCGGGGAAGTAGAAGAACTCGGGGATGAGCTCCTGAAAGAAGGTATTTAATTTTTTATCACGCTCTCTCCCTCTCTCTCTCTCTCTCTCTCTCTCGCTCTCTCTCTCACCTTAAAGTCAGTCGTACTCTCACTGCTCGACAGCCTCCACACAGATTCGATGCTGTTGAACAACCGATCCGGCAGGTCGAAGCGACCGTCCTGAAAATTCCGAATTAGCATAATCCCTTCCAAAATTCCTACAGACTCTTTGCTAGCTTGCGCTGAGCAAATTACCTGATATTCCAGCGCCATTTTTGTAAACGGCATCAACCGGACCAGAAAATGGGAGACGATCCCGCTGTTGCTGTAGTGGCTGCCTAAAAATGGTGTTTCTAGCGAGCTCTTTCGCTCTGTCTCTGTCTCTGCCCCCCTCTCTCTCTCTCTATCTCTCTCTGCCTCTCCCTCTCTCTTACCGTAGTGATAAGGCCCATGTTGTAGGGTCTCGCCCAGATCGGCCTCTTCAAGCTGTGCATATTGCTGCGCGTAGTAGTTTTCTTTCGTCCGGTCCTGGATGGCCATCGGGCGGGTGAAATTTCTGGAAGGAAATGGTTTTTTAAATCATAAACACTTAATCTAAAATAGAAACAGTAAGGTACGGTAGATATCGTATATTACAATATAAAAAATTGTTAAACTTACCGGTAATTGCTTGGATTCGCCAGGTCCAGCGACGCCATCGTGTATTGGGAGAGGACAAATGGAAAGACTGGATACTGCATCAAGTCGTTGTACGTCCGGCCGGCGATCTTGTTCAGCAACATCAGGTATCTAATGAGTAGAAGTATAATCAAGCCTATAGACTACGCTACGTTACGGTCCGCTATGTTACGCTACGTTACGCTACGCTACGCTACGTTACGCTACGTTACGTTGCGTCACGTTACGCCTCGCTACGGTACGCTACGTTACGCTACGCTCTAAAACCCACCCAAAATTGTTGAGAACACCGTGACGCCACTGCTCCGTCGCGATCTGCAGCGTTTTCTTGGGATCCGGAAAAACGTGTCCGAACCCGATTTGCGCCAACCATTCTTGGAACGTTGACCGCACCTGAAATTTTTTATTTCGGATGCTTGGATAAATTTTTTGCTTTCTAGAATCCACGTTGCGTTACGCTTACGCTAAGCTACTCTACGTTACATACGCTACGCTTCGCTACGCTGCGCTACGTTCGCGTTACTGGTGTTACGCACTACGTTCGCACGTATGCCACGTTACGCTACGCTACGTCTAGATCCGTCTGTAAGACCTCAAACTATTGAAAAATCTTGCAATTTTTTCGGCTAACCTTTGTATTCTCAAAAACAATCAACCGTGCCGGGCCGTCCTTGACGAAGATCTCGAAGGCAATGTCGCGCAGTAGGTATTTTCTAGGATTTGTATCAATAAGGCATCGTAAGGCCGGTTTTACCTTTCCCAAATCTCCGTGATCTGGGTATACGGTATCCGGAATCCCTCGCCATGCGCCAGGGGAAGCTGTTTATGTGTTGTACGGGTTTTTCGTGGCAGCAAGTGAACGTGCTGCTCGGCCACGACGAGGTCTCCCTAGAAAAGTTTGCCTGTTTTTTTAATGAAGTTGATATTTTACAAAAGTTGACAAGGAGTTTTGCTACCTTATCGATACTAGAAACTCATTTTAAGTTGGAAATAAAACGTTTTAAAAATAACAATTTTTGAAGTTTCTAGCCCACCTCGCACTCGGCGTATCCCCTCACTTCAACCACATCACAATGATACTTGTACGAGTCGATGACGGTCAGTTCGTCTCGCCGTCGCCGGAATGAACCGGAAGCCTAAAAATAAATTTATTTTGGAGGAAAGCTCAGTTATGCCTCGGCTTGAGCCTACGTCTAAGTTAAGCGCGTGTCCTAGACCAGGCTCAAGCCAAGGGTAAGCCTAAATGAAGCCTAAACCAACCAGAATAGCCTCAAAATTCGGTCTCAACGCTCGGCCGGCTGGTGCGACTCGAAAATATTGATCTTGGACCTCATAATCTGCCGGTACTAGGCTAAAAACGTATTTTTATTTATTTTACAGTACCCCTACCGTCTCCTTTCTCGATTTGGCCCCTCAATGGTATCCAGTTGGAAGCCATTCGGCCAATTTTGAGGGTTGTGAAGTGGTGCAAGCGGGTGGAAGAGACGGCCCTGAAACAGGGGCTTTTAGAACGTTTTTTCATCAGCAATGAGAATTCCGCAAATGGCCTTTGCTGGCTGGCCTGGCCTGCCCTGCCAACCAACCTCAAAATGCAGCAACAAATCCTCGGCCGTATGCAAATTTCGGATCAACTCGCGCGGGGCCTCAACCAGGCTCTTCCGTGAAGCTGTCGTCTGTTCCACCACTTCCGTCGTCAGTTTCATGGCCACCTAAAAGGAAACTTAGTGCTAAAAAAGAGCTCTTACCATCGCTAAGGCTGCTGAGATTTCCGCATCTACATTCTTGATAGCATCCGCTTCCAGCTTCAACACGTTCATCAGCTTTCCGCGTTCATTCTCGTAGTTGAACGCCGCGAGCTTCTCGTTGTCCGCGAAATTTTTCAGGGCTTCTGAAAGGCACTTTTTGCATTTAATAGGTTTGGACATTTCCTTTTACACAAAGCAGGAAATTTTTAAAGAGTTTAATCTTAGAAGTACATTTTTAAGGAATTTTTAGGAAAGTACCTCCGCGTGAATCCTTGAAAAAGTCGAACGGCGAGTCCTCATTCAAATCCTTGATGGCAGACTGGATATCGGAACAGTCCCGTAGCGTCGATTCGGAAGCCCCCTCGCTCAACAGCGCCAGATCGATGATGCCAAGGCACATCGTGTAGGTATCGTCCTGGAATTATTTTAGTGAACTACAGGAAAATTCATAATAACCGTAAATTTAATTTTTCAACACATTTTTTTTTTGATAATGCTGAAAAATTTACTGTATTTTACCAAGGCTTCGAGCCCTTTTAGAAACGCAAATTTTTCGACGAAACGCATACCATTGATGCTCTCAAAAGTCCGCGAAGTTGAGGTTTGGCGTCCCCACTCAAATCTTTGACCAAGGCCGACAGGATTATGGCCCGTTTCCGGAACATCCACTTTTCCGCTTCACGTTCTGGACCAAGGCCTTGGTCCAGCCAGCGCTAAATCAAAATTCGGTAATTCGAAAAATAAGGTTTTACATTCCGATACTCAAGTGATGGGTAGATGACGAAGGCGGCAAGCTGGGACAGGGCTTTTCTGGCACGAGAATTGGCCTGCGAGGTACACGATTTCCACATCTCACGCATCGAGCCCTAAATTTAATTAGATTCAGATTCCAACCAGTTTTATAGATATGATAATGTTGAAAGTTACGTTTCTTCCGCTCAAATACCAATAAGCTACCGCAAATCCCTCACCTCAGCCGAAAATGCCGTGATCAGCAGCGTCAAGTAGTTCCTGAGCAACACTGCCTCCTCCCTGGTCTCGGTGTCCATCGTCTCAAAGTAGGAGAACACGGCCAGGCACATGTCCAGCCCGAAGATCATCCTCTCGCTGATGCGGTGCGGGTGGGCGAGGCCGGCCGGCTTCTCGCGACGCTTGTATCGGGGTTTTAGGATGTTTTTGGCGACTAGAAAAATTGGCTTATATGGATCTTGTTAGCTCTCTCAAAGAATCTCTGCTCGCTTGCCCCAAAAACTCACCAATTCCCAGTTTGGTCATGCGCTGCTTGAACTCGGCGAACTGGCCGCCAGCGTACGCGGCGGTGGGTGAGGTACCGTCAAGGAGTATTGCCCTGGAGGGGCTGACCGAATAGTCGTCCACTATCACGGTTTGCCCGGTGTCTCCTTCTGAATTTCGTTGCCCGGAGACGAGGTCGCCATCAACGACGGACCAGTCATCTGAAAGTTCAATTTCGTTGTCTCTCTCTCTCTCTCTCTCTCTCTCTCTCCCTCCCTCTCGCTCTCGAACTCACCATTAAGCGACTCAACACTGGAAGGAGCACTTGCTGACTTCATCGTGTCCTTTTTGAGGCTCCAAAAACGCTGTATCCACTCGTTCAGCACCGTACATAAGCAACGTCGTACTTCACTGAAAATTGGAGAGCAATTGATCTGAATCTTGCTCTCGCTCTCTCTCTCTATGCTCTTTCCAGCTCTCTTTCTCACTATCTCTCACTCTCTCTCTTCTCTCTCTCTCTCCAACCTACATAAAAGCTTGATGTGCCTCCCATGTCGCTAACGAATCCGGATCCTCCATCCTCAACCTCCTCCAGTCGGCCCCAAACTGCTGATCGAGCAGCGTGATGAGCACGATTAACTGTCGGCATCCGATGTACACCCGCTCGTCACTAGGAGTGTATTGTACTCGAAAAACGTGATTCAAACACCTGTAAAGTATCCCGGCATCCAACACCTTTTGGGCCAGGGTCTTCCAAATATCCCTCATTCCGTATCGATACTCAGGGTCATGGTCGTGGGATAGGGCTATCTGAAAAATGGAATTTTACGAGAACAGGTCTGGTACCCCCCGATAATGCAAAAGAACCAGGAAAATGGTCAATTTACTCGTTTTTTTCCTGGGCTTTTGTCCTTGCCATCGTCTAATTTTTAAAGGTATAATCCTGACCTTCCTCAAGCATTCCACCAACACATCAACAATCCCGTTATCGATAAATGCGGCTTGGAGCTGGGAATTGTATTCAAATACCTAAAATTGGCAGATACAGGCGATATGATGCAAAAGATACCTTGGCCACGGAGTTTGAGACCCTTGCAAAAACAGAGATATCGTGAGTGGACCCGGCGAGTACGGCAAGTACAATGTACGTCGATTCACAGTTCAGCTGATTGACCTCGAGACGGGCGAGGAGCTCTCCGTCGAGTCTAAAAATAGATGGGTGAGGAGCACAAACTTTTCTGCTCTTTCTGGGCTTCCTTTCTACGCCTTGTGTTTCTTATAGGAAATCCGCAAAATACCGACAATAAAAAATAAATCGCCAAAACCATGAACTGCCAAAATACCGAACTCAGAGTTCCGCTAACGGGCGTCGGCTTGTCGGGATTTTGACCGACCGTAGTCTTGAGTTTCGGCATTTTGATTACGGTTGTCGGTATTTTAGCTTTCGGGATGTTGGTTTGTCGGCATTTTGCCCTAACGGCGTTCCGGCCTGTCCGGGTTTTCGCCTGTCAGGATTTTGGTCGCCGATATTTCCAATGTCGGGATTCTGGCTGTCGGTATTTCCCAAATTTCGGGATTATGTAATTCGAGTAAGAGCGAGCACGGAAAAGAAAATGGAGCCCAGAAAGATCATAGATTTTTCCAAAATCGAAATAAATGTGAACCGCTCGAACCCATGGGAGATGAGCACTGGCTCGCCGATCATCATCCCGAACGCCGCGTCCGCGATCCGCTCGCTCATCTCGTGGCCTCGCAGCTGGTTAGCCAGCAAGGGACCACCGCAGAATTTTATGAACATTGCCTTCGTGAAGTCGGGCGAGCGTTGCTAAAATGGAAAATATTGCAAATTGATTTTCTAGTTTTTTTCCGAAGTTATCGAAAACTTTAAAAATTGATGCGCAACTCCTACCAAAAAGCACTCGACCAGTCGCATAACTGCCGCTTGAACGGCTTGATTTCGTTGACGATTGAGGAGAACGATTATCGATTGCCACCCAATGGTGTCGTGGAGTAGACCGTAGATGAGCTGATCCGGGCCACAGCGGAGGACAGAGACTAGTTGTTCGATCAGCGCTGAAAAGGGATATTTTAGATTTTTAGCGAAATCATGCTAATTCAAATAGCTGGGAATACCGTCGGTTCTTAAAAATATTTAACCTTATAAAGTAAATAAAAATAAAAATTAAATAAATACTATTTTTATGTTTTTTTTTTGTTCCTGTTAACTTACCGGCCCTCAAATAATTGACACTGGGCTGTTCCGGTGGACGTTCTTGTCGATTTCGAGGTGTAAATGAAGGGCTAGCCGGTTCGTTCTAAAAACGGGTCATTTAAAATTTTAATACCTGAATTAAGAAAGTTAAACGATTTTAAATACAATACCTCATCCCTGGATCTCGGATTCCCCACGTCATACATTTTCCGCAGCTGTACAATGTCAATCTCATTCTCCCAGAGGTTTTGTATCCGATTCTCGGATGCCGTGCAGAACTCGTCGTAGTACTTGTTCAACGTCTAAAAATTCGTTCTTTTCGACCCGAAACTTGTGTTCCAGTCCCTTTAATCTGCTTTTTCTACCGTACCTCGCAGAGTTCTGTCGAATAGACGGGATATGGAAATTCCTCGGAGGCGGAGGGAAGGTCTAAATTAAAACGTTTAAAATTCATTTACGTGCGCTAACATCTAATGCCGACAGTCAGAATACCGACAAAAAATAGAAATGTCGAAAAAACCAGGGAAAGTCTAAGCCAAACAATACCGATACCCGAAAAATATGCGTTTTCTGTAAAATGCGGTAACTCTATAAAAAATTCCGCAAAGAATTTTTGCTGAAAAATACCGACAAGCAGAAAACACGGAATATACCGACAGCTGGAAAATATCGAAACCCTAGAAATACCGACTTCTATGGAAAATTAGCAAAATTTAGCTTCGCAACGAAAAATTTGTTTTTTTTTTGCTGTCGGCATTTTTCGATATTACGGCAGAAAATACCGACAAAATCCCGACCTGCTCTCAGCCAATCGTGATAAGACGTGATTGTGTTCTTGATGAACGTCTTTTCTGGCGGATGGGAGTGAAGGATAAAAATCCACAGGGACTCGATCTAAAATCTATGTCGTAATCGATTACGTATTTCCCCAATTTTCTCTGCTAGTTTGCCTCCAAAAACTCACAGCAACATTGTGAGCCTGATCCCCGATAAGGATGTCCGTAATGTACGGCACGATCCTCGTGACACCCTCCGAAAATAGGGCCGCGCACTGGTAGCAGCACAACGTGAGGGCGGAGAGTTCGTGGAGGGCCTGGAATTAAGAAATTAAATTAGAGAATTAAATAGAAAAATAAAATCAATAAACAAGTTGCAAAACACAGAAAATTCAACTAATAGAAATTAAACTTAAATATTAATATGCCATACTGACCAATAAGAGGCGATGTAACAGATCAACATATTTCCATTGGACGAGGTTGAACTCGGAGAATTGGGGATCGTAGAGCGACTCCCGGATTCCGTCCACGAGTTCCAGCCAGAAACGTATTCTAAAAATGTCGATTAAAGGGATAGACAAGGTCCATTTATGGATTCGATTCTATGGATTTACTCACTTATGCTCCCCCACCCAAAGCAACGGCCGCTCGACGAGCGCCAGCAAAAGCTCCGGCTCCAGAATTATTGAAGTCTTCTCCCCATCAGCATCCCACCGGAAGCAATATTGAAGGAAGATCTGAACAGCTTCAAGTTGTTGCTGATATGCTTAAGCTCCACCTCAGAGATCGTCTCTGGATTCCGGGAGTTTGGGTCGGTGTCCAGCTCCTCGTCCTCAGGAAAAGCCGTTGGGAGTTGCTAAAAAAATCGTGGGGGCTGAGATTGTGTTTCCTAAAGAACCTCCGCTAGTTTGCCCGCTTCGAAAATTGTAAAAAAATGTAATTTAACTAAAGTGGAAAGACCAGGCAATTAGTGAAAGGATCTCGGTTAGTTTCCGGATTCAGACGACCCAAACAACATTGTGGAATCTATTAAAAACTTCCAGAACGATGGGGTTCCCAAAGAATCTCTGCTAGCCTGCCCTCTCAAAAAAATCCGCATAGGTACTATAGCCGCCTTACCGTATCCCCAGGTTTCGGGGAGCAGAATGCCCCGGCAAACAGTATCCTCGACAACAGGTCCTTGATCCTCGGGATCTCCTCGCAGGTCTGGGAACTAAACCAGCACGGTGATTACGAGTTTTTGATTCTACAGTACCTCCATCTCCTGGAATATACCAAAAGCAGTCGTAGAGCCAGCAGCTGAGTCTCGGGATGGCCGATGCCTCGAGCATGAGCATCGACGGCCTGAAAGAGAAATAAGAAAAATTCAGAAATTTTAGCTAGAAAAATTGTTTTCTAGATTCTAAAGGGGGCGTGACACCTCCAATTCAAGCTTTTATCAAACTCACCAATGCATAAAGAGACACAAAGGTGGCTAGTCCGCCGGCAACCTCCATGGCTTCGTCAAGGGTTGCCTTCTGATTGGCCATCATCTTTGTGGAGTACGGTACCGGCAGTAGTATTCTCTTGTTAAGCGCCAACGGATCTGTCTGAAAAATGAAGGGGAATTACGGTGCAGTAGAGAGAACGGGAAAGCGAGAGCGAGAGAGAGAGAGGGAGAGGGAGAGAGTGTGAGAGAGTGAGTGAGTGAGAGAGAGAGAGCGAGGGAGAGAGTGAGGGAGAGAGAGCGAGAGCGAGAGAGATTTCCTACTTCCTGCACTGTAGATGATTTTCCGACCACTTGAAATGAGTTTGGCGTCTCGCAGAGTAGGAAAAAGTGAACACTTCTCTAAACAATATTTTGTCTTATTTTTACTAGATTTAATAGATAATCCAACTATAAGAAAATTTTAGAAAATCTGCTAGATGACGGAAAAATTTATAAAGTGAAATTTCGAACCTGTAACAACTTGAGCTTCAAGTCACTATCAGCCAGGGCTGCCTCGATGTAGGGTCTAAACATTAGCAAATCTCCTCAAGAATCAATGCTAGTCTACCTTGTATAGTGCCTCCTTAACAGTGCTGGTTTCAGAACCCTGGCCGGGCACAGGCCAACCCGATTTGAGGCGGCCGAGCAGAGAGACCGTAGGGATGGGCCCAGGGCCGCGAGCGTGAAGATTGAGGACGGGCTCAGCATACCTAAGATTGGGACTTCAGCTTTCACTATCTATCGCCCACTTTCTCTCTCTCTCTCTCTCTCTCTCTCTCTCTCTCTCTCGCTCTCTTTCTCTCTATCTCGGTGTCCTTGGGCCCCCTCCACCTCTCTCACCTTCGCTCTCTCTCTCTCTCTCTCTCTCTCTCTCTCTCTCTCTCTCTCTCTCTCTCTTTCTCACTTCATCTCTGGAGCATGAGAGCGAGACCGAGAGAGCGAGACAGAGATGTGAGAGCGAGAGCGAGAGTCAGCAAGAGCAAGCCAATCGACTTAACATACCTTTAAACCCAAAAATATTGGTCAACTCGTAGTGCGGCCCAACCGGACGCCCCTCAAAAACCGCTTCTCCGAGCAGCACTGCGATATTTGTAGAACCTTTATCTCCTAGAAAGGCTATTGATGTGCCTGACTACGCTACGCACCTATCAACGATAACCTCGGAGCCGTTGTGACATCATTCAGATAGTAAGAGGTGCCGACGGTTGCCTGGACTTTTAGAAGATTTCCACCGGATGTTTGGTAGCTCATCCCGAGGGTAATGTGCTGCCATGGTTCGTCGAGTTTTTTGGGGTACGGTAGACGTAGGGATTTCCTAAAAAATTACCTAAATAGCTAATAATTTAAATTTATGGATTTCATGAACGAATGCACTAGTTTTTACATTTTTGTAATCCTGGAAAACTCACTTGGCCAACAAGTCGCACCTCGACTTCACCTCAATCTGATACGCATTTTGAGCGACCAGATAGAGCGACAGCTCGACGTGGTTTTCACAGCTGAGTGATAGGATGTGTGTACGGAGTTTTTGATCTTTCGGGACCTTAACGTCAAAAATTAAGGTATTTCTTCATAATTAAAAATCGTGAAGGCTTCATTAAAAATAAGATTTTACCGACGGACAAATCCATGTCGATATCGTCAACCCTTCCGTAATTTGGACCGGAAACCGGTCAAAGGATAAACGGGCTGAGTAGCGGTCCTGAAAAAATGGTATACCTTCTTTAAGAGACTCTTTTTGTCATCGTCCCTTTAAAAAAGCCAAGAGAGAGAGAGAGAGAGAGAGAGAGAGAGAGAGAGGGGGGGAGAGAGAAGAATAATTCCGTGCCGCTCCCACTTACATATTGGCTGGTCGTCGACGGGAAACTGAAGGTATACTGTGGCCGCTCAATCCGCAGCAATACTATCAGCTCCTTCAGCAGCCCGTTCTAAAATAAAACCTTAGTTTTTCGATTTATCCTTTTTTTCTTACCACTAATGGTGTCTTCAACGAATTCGTCAGGATGTTGGTCAGCTTCTTGAAATTCTGGGGCTGCGAAACGGTAAGGAAAAGCTTTGAAATGGTCGCCGACAAGGTGGAGACGTTCTGTTCAGCTACGCGATCAGCAATATCGGTCTCGAGCGTGATTTCCAGGGTTTGGAGGAGTTTGGAGGTGATCTTAAAGTGAATTTTAGGTGCGGTTTGTTTCCCTCACGATCTCTCCCTCTCTTTCTCTCTTGCTCTCTCTCGCTCGCTCTCGTTCTCTCTTGCTCTCTTGCTCTCTCTCTCTCTCTCTCTCTCTCTCTCTCTCTCTCTCTCTCTCTGTCTCTCACTCTCTTACATCTTCAACCACCACCATATGCACGTTCTCAAAACACCCGTCGATGATCACCGTCTTCAAGCGGTCCAGCTGAAAAAAAAATTGAAAAAAAATGAGAAATTAATCATTTTGATAAATTGAAAAATAATGCGTAACAATAAAGGAAATTCTGACGATATTGACTTACCACGCTCCCAATTTCTTCCAAAATTTCCGGAAGTTCCACCTCCCCTCCAGAATTGACCCATTGCAGTAGCAGATCAGTGGCCAGGAGCAGCATCTGGGCATTTCGGATTCTTCTTGAGGATTGTTTTTCTGAACCTCAAATTCTAATTTTAAAGTAAAAACTCTACCATCCCTCCAACTCCCCAAATCGACTGCCGCGTCGACGATGTTCAGCAAGCACTGTTGCCGTAATCCCGGATTCTTGGACAGTATCCCCGCTATCTGACGATGTAGTTTTGAGGTGAATGTAGCTATCTAAAGAATAGAAAATTTTATATATCGTGTTAAATATTGGATACTTTTTTCGAATCAGGGCCCAGATGCAAAAATTGACATCCAATGGCGAGACCATGGATTCTGGCCCATCGGCGGGTTTCCTCTTTGGCGTCAGCTAGAAAAAAAGAAATTTTTTAGAAGATTTTTAAATACGGAAAGTGTTTTTAAACTTTTTTACTATCCCTCTTCTACAAGATTTTATGATAAAATGCAAAAAATATCGATTTTTCGGCCAAAAATGGCCGTTTTTACTAAAATTTCGGTTTCAAAAGTTTTTCTAGTTAAAATATAATTGTATCTTGATAAAAACATTATAAAAAATTTTCCCATTATTAGATATTCATAGATTACAAAAAATGTCGAACTATCCCTTTAAAATCGACATACCTGGCGGTAACGTTCCCCACTCGCTACACTGGGCAACGATTCTCGCCAGAGTCTGGTTCAGATCTGACGTTGAGGTGGAGGGCACTGAAAATACTTATTAGCTTAAACCTCAATAGCATCAATTATGTCATGGTAGACATCTAAAAATAAAAATTTAGAACATATATAAATTCCTATAAAATGCACATAAAAACTGAAAATGTAGTGCTTCGTAATTTTCGAATTTCCAGAACGAACCCTGGGCGAGCAGCAGCGTCAACTTGTCGAGCAGCCCCGTCAGACTGTCAGCCATCGGGGCGTCGTGGATGAACAGCCACACATCCTTGTACAGCAGCTCGAACCTGCCCAACTCGCCGAGGATCTGCTCGATCAGCTCGCGGGCCTAAAATTTCATTTTTGATGGGTTTTAAAGGGACAGGGAAGGCAGAAATAGCTTCACAAAAGGCCATGGAGTAATCACTTACAACAGGCAAATCCTGCTCCAGCGTGCACGTCGTTAGCAAGCAGTTCAGCGTCTCGATGCATGGTGGCGAGCCGATCATTCGCTGGACGAATTTTCTGGAAATTTTTGCCGTGACAAATTGTGAGGCGCAAGGAGGCTTGAGGCCAAAATCGATAAATTTGCAGAAAAAAAATTAAAAAACTGGAAAATTTAAAACAACCTTAGAATATAATTAAAAATAGGTATAGACTAGAATTATTCGATTATCAGCTATTCCGTTTAGGGGAGTGATACGGAAAGGCGCCAATATTTGTTTGATCGTTCATTAATGCGTATAGAGACATCTGTCAGTCTTATCATACATTTCCTATCAGATCTCCCCTTCAAAAGCACCAAACTGCACATATTTCATGTTTCTATGTAATTACCATTAATGTATTATTTGTATTTAATTAATTTCCAACCATTTCGGCTCGAAAATCGTATGGTAATAGTGCCTATGTAGACTCGCTAGCATTAAATCCATGCCTTAAACCTCCAAATAGTTTAATTTAATAATATTCTATAATATTTACGTATTAGATATCATCGAGCAGCTAATCCCACATTTAATAGACTTTTAAAACATATTTCTAACGTTAAAATTAGCATAAAACAGCCATTTTTTGGCCGGGACAGATGTTTCCCAATTTGGTGGCGTGTACGAATCGTGCGTGCAGAGTAGCAAAGCGGAAACGAAGGTCCAGGGAAAAGCAAACAGCAACAAAAAGAACGCAAGCAAAGTCCAACAAACCTTGTGAAATCCGCTCCAAAAATCGTTCCGCGTTTTGGCTTGAGATTCGCGAGGATTTGGATAAACTTTTCAAAGTCGACTTCGAACAGCTTTTTCAGGCAAAGCTCGAGGAGTTCTCTGCTTTCTAAAAAACCAAAATGACGTTATTTTTTGTGATTTTCCTAACCAATTCCGTTGAAAAACTCTGAGATTTTAGCATTTGGAATTAAGGCCAGGAGTTGCTGGAACATTTTTAAGGGGAAGTTGTCGCCGAGCTGCTCGAGGATGACGAGGTAGAGCTGGAAAAGTCTCTCTCTTACTCTCTCCCTCTCCCTCTCTTTCTCTCTCTCTCTCTCTCTCTCTCTCTCTCTCTCTCTCGGTCTCTTTCCTAAAAATACCTTGACTTGGGATCCATGAAGTTGTTCTTCTCCTTCAATTAGATGAATCATTGTCTCAAGCGTTTCCAGCTCATTTCGAGACAAGATTTTGGATTTTAGAAGTGCCAGTAGCTGCTCAAGCACCTCGGCGATTTCGGAGATTTGTTTTCTGAAAGTTGATGAATTGCTGGCTGCACTGGCCCTGAAAAAGACTCACCCTCTCTCTCTCTCTCTCTCTCTCTCACACTCTCTCTTTTTCTATATCACAAACCAACTTTTCCTTCAGCGCCTCAATAATCTGGCGAACCAGCTGAAGTCGGATCCCAAGAGCCTGGCTCCTCCGTGCCGAGAATATTACTCCAGTAAGCTCCTCAAAAAGCACATAGCCTCCCACGAAGTCTCCAGCTTCCAACTCGTCGATCAGCTCGAACCTGGAGACGATAGAATTTTAAGAGCTCCAATGATACTGTACCATTCCGTAACGATCCCCTTTACACTTGTCGGGCTCACAAAAACACCGTAGTCCGCGTAGAGGAGCAGAAATTTCAGGAGTCTAAATTTAGATTTAGAGTACGTTTTTCTTGATTGTGTTTGCTGTGTTTTAGGTTTGTTTTCGACTACAAACTCCGATCCAGACCTCAAAAAACTGGTCGGATCATTGGCCGCATCCTGAAGCATCTGCAACTCCCCAAGGTGCAACGCCGCTTTCGCCACGATTTTTGCCGCGGCCGTCACCTTAAAGGGCAATTGAAGCCAACGAAATCTTGCTCATGAAAATTATAACTTTCCAAAACGAACCTGCCGAAGATGAGCGACCAAATTCTCCAGCAGCTTTGACTTCAGGATGAACTGGCGCTTCTTGAGGATATTTCGAGCGTGGATTTGAGCCAACTAAAGGCAGTAACAATGTTGAGAAATCAAATTTTTACCAGGGCGGCGAACTTGGCCGAGTTGTCGATCCACTCGAGGTCGATCTCCTGCTCGACGTCGAGATTTAGCGTTGGGCAAAGCCAGAATTTCGGGTCCTGTAACGAGAAGGTTTTTTCTCTAGCTCTTTCTTTCTCTCTTACTCTCTCTCTCTCTCTCTCTCTCTCTCTCTCTCTCTCTGTCTCTCTCTCTCTCTCTCTCTCTCTCTCTCTCTCTCTCTCTCTCTCTCTCTCCCTCTCTCTGCCTCTCGCAGATTTTTACATCCGAACTTACCATCAATATCGGCTCCGAAACCTCGACAATCCCAGCCAACACCACCGTCGCCAACACGAGCACATCGGCCTTGGAAAAAACGGGAGCTGGTCGATTTTGGTGTTCTTGCTAAAAGACGTTTCGCTAACCGAAGGGTGATTTACCCTCCAAAAAGCCATGATTTTCCGTTCCCATACTGTTGACATTGGCACTTCGCGGATCGGCTCCTGATCTACGAAATCTGCCTCTTGAGGGCGAGCGATTTGGCGCAGTTCGGCTGGGTGGAACTGAAAGAATAAAAATGGTAGGAACCGGGGCAGGCTAGCAAAGATCTTTGAGGAATCTAAAAATCAAGACAGGCTAGCAGAGATCTTTAGGGAACTACAAGATCATGGCAGGCTAGCAGAGATCCTTGAGGAATTAGAGGAGCAGGACAAGTTAGCAGAGCTCCTTGAGGGCTTAGGGGAGCAGGACATGCTAGCAAAGATCCTTCAAGAATTAGAGTATCAGGACAGGCTAGGAGAGATCTTTGAAAAATCAGAGCATCATGGAAGGCTAGCAAAGAAACTTGAGGAATCGAAAGACGAAGGGAGGCTAGCAGAGATGTTTGAGGCACGAAAATATCTGGGCGGTCCAGCTGAAACCCTTGCGGAGATCGATGAGCCAGGGCAGGCTAGCAGGGGTCATTTGTACAAAAAATATCCCTTACCGGCGGTAATGAAGCCCTCAGCGCTTCCGAAGCCGCTTCTTCCGCGGCTTCTTTGTCAACTTTGGGACGATTTACCTGAATTTTACCAGGTAAGCTACCAGCGAATCTCACGTACCTTCCATTCCTTCCGTTTTCTCACCTTCGACTTGGATGGCCTCAAAACTAGGGGCTCCTTCTTGGCGGGTAAATCCAGGATCCGGATCCACTCGTCGATGTCAAGATTCATAGGGCCGGAGAGGGCGGCCTTGGTTGTGATAATTTCCAAGAAACTCAGGATCCCGTCGGCTGACTGCTTCAGGGTAGGCTTTTTGACGGCGTCTAGAGGAAATAACGTAAGCTTTTAAATTTTTGTAACGTAAGATTTTAACTTTTAAAAAATAGCAGAATTATCGAATTGCCATAGCCCGAAACCTCTAATGATTCCTCAATAATATCTGCTAGGCTACCGGATGCTTGACGATTCTTCAGCAATCTCTGCTAGCCCAGCGAATCCCTGATGGTCCTTAAGGGTAGCTGCTAGGCTGCCGATGCCTGCGCATTCCGAAAGAATCTCTGCTAGGCCACCGATCTTGATGATTCCTCAAGAATCTCTGCCAGCCTACCTACAGAAAGCCGAGAGACCAGTCAAAGATCCATTTATTCCCCTAGGAATCACTGCTAGCCTACCAACTACAAAATTAAAATTTGAAGAACGACAGGAATGTGAAAATTTGAAATCGCCTATCTTGTTTGACCCCTAAATACCCCCATTTCCTACCGTAATGCCGTATATTTTCCGCTAAAATCCGCAGCATCGCGGCATCTGTGCTCGACTCTTCCGACGTTCCGGTGAAATAAGTAGCGCGGAGTAGCGGCAGGATCCTTTGAAGCCCATATTCAAGGAGCTCGCCTAGCTGCGACATGCTGCTGAATGAACGATTTTTGTTAGTGGGATTCATCTAAGCAATTAAATTAAAAAATTCCTCTAAATAAAGCTTAATTTACTAAACAAAAACGCCAAATCGAGGCCCCGTCCAAGCTTTTTTTTGTCGGAAAGAGACCCCGGGATGCGCCCTCATTTTTGATAAGATAACCCGTGGTGGGGCATCGAGTCATCCCTTGGGCCACGGGTTCCAGTCTGTTACTTGAGGGCATTTCTATTGTCTACTGGCCATGGGAAAACTACAAAATATAACTTTAACGTATTAAAAATTCTTTCTTGGTATCTCTCGCCCTCTTGCTCTCTCTCTCTCTCTCTCTCTCTCTCTCTCTCTCTTTCTCTCACTCTTTCTCTCACTCTCTCTCACTCCCACTCACTCTCTATCTTGTTTTCTCTCTACTCGGTGTCTCTCTCTCACTCTCTGTCTCTCTCTCTTGCTCTCTCACCCTCTGCCTCTCTCTCACACTTTTGATTAGGTGTCGACAAATCCTGGATGCATAAATTTGCGTTAAATGTCCACAAGCCTTCAAAAAATGTTTTATTTGATATGTACATAGTCGGGTCGCGGGAATCATCGTCCATATTGCTGGGAGGAGGCCTAAAATTAGAAAATTTGATTTTCTTTGAATTTTTTGTCGTGACGCCATATTTTCCCACCAACCTGTCCATCCTGATATCCGGCGCAGTACTGTTGACAGTCGGCCTGCGCCGAGTTACCGTACTGTTGGCTAAAAATAAGTTCTGGTAATTTTCAACATTTTACATTATTTGGAAGGTTTGAGGTATTATTTTAGATTAATTTTAAAGCTTAAACTTAAAAGCCAAAATCCATAGAAAATCCATAGCGGATATATAGCAATCCCTTGCCAGTCCCTTTAAACCCGAACCTGTAGGCGTTGCTGTTCTGCTGCTGCTGCTGCTGCTGTTGCTGTTGCTGGTTCTAAAATTCATATTTAAATCTTGTTAAAAATATTTTTTTGATACCTGGCTCATCTGCTGGCATACAGGCTGGCATTGCTGCTGCATTTGGCTCTGGTCCATCTGTTGTCCATAGCCCTGTGTCGTCGTCTGTTGCTGCTGGTAGCCGTTGTTTTGGTAATTCTGGAAAAAAAAATGTGGATTTAAATTTTCAAAATTAATATAAGAAGGAAGTTAGCCAAAAAACGGTAAAACTTAAAGACTGGAGCTTAAAAAAAGCTTAAAAATATCACTTTTCATCTGAAAAATTCAATAAACTTTTCGATGTTTTGTCGCTTAAAATTCTTACCTATTAAATTGCTAAAACTATTAACAGTCAAGGTACAAAATTACCTGCTGATAACCTTGTGTGGTACCGTACTGCTGTTGCTGCCCGTAACCCTGGTTTTGGTTCTGGAAGGTACGAGATTTTCAAATTTCCTATAGTTGCAGCAGATACAAATAATCTACTAAAATCTTAAAAACGTCATTTACAAAAAAACCACTGTACCTGCTGGTAGCCCTGAGTCGTGCCGTATTGTTGTTGCTGCCCGTAGCCCTGGTTTTGGTTCTAAAATCGTTAAGATTTAGATTTCTACATACTTACAGTAGGAAAAAAGCTGCTTAAAAGGCAAAATGATATCTAGCAAAACTACCGTACCTGGTAGTAGCCCTGAGTAGTTCCGTACTGCTGTTGCTGCCCGTAGCCCATGTTGTTCTGCTGAAATTGGAGGAATACTCTACAGTAAGCAAGAGAAAATCGTGAGAGAGAGCGAGAGAGAGAGAGAAAGAGAGTGAAAAGGGAGAGGGGGAAGAGAGTAAGATTTGTTAAAAAATGATACCTGGTAGCCAGAAGTTGCGCCGTACTGCTGCGGTTGTTGGTAGTTGTTGCTGTTGCTGTTGCTCGGGTTGTACTGTAATACTGTACATTAAGCGCTAGCGATAAAGGAGAGAGAGAGAGAGAGAGAGAGAGAGGGACAGAGAGTTATAAATATATCATTTAATCCACCCTGAACTCCACCAACCATTCGGTTATACCCAGGCTGAGCGGTGGTAGTTGACTGCTGATTGTACTGCTGTCCCTGGCTGTACTGCTGATTATTCGTGTTTTGTTGCTGGCTGTAGCCCTGCTGGGAAGAGGTATCTTAAAGATTTTGGGTTCTTCTTAACACTATTTTTGACGTACTATTCATGCCCTGCTGTGCCGGGGTCTGTGGTGGGGCGGGTGGGGCGCCGCCGATCGAGTCGAAGAATTTCTTGTTTAGGGCTTGGGTGTCCTAAAGACTAAGATTTTTAAAGGATGTGTGCAATGAAGTAAAGTTGGAGATCGTCTTCGAGATTCCTTAGATTTTCAAAATCCCTACAAACCTCTGGTAATTAGAGTGTTGAATACCCCAAGAATCGCTGCTAGCCTGCCAGTTTTGCTTCAAAAATATCTGCTAGTTTGCCTGGCTGTTCCCAAATTATCTCTGCTAGCCTTTGATTGACTAATACCACAATAATTCATGCTAGCTTGCCATGTTTCCCCAAATCCTCAAAAATCGTTGCTAGGACTCCCTAGTATTGTTCGAAATCCTCAAGAAACTCTGCTAGTCTGGCATGGCTGGTGCAAATCCTCAAGGTTCTCTGCTAGCCTGCCCTGAGACTGGAAAATCTGCGTCCCGTTTCAATTTCCTAAAGGCTTCTAGCTAGTCACTCGAATTTTCTCCATTTTCCCCCAAGAACCTCCGCTAGTTGTCACCCCCCCCAGCTCTTACCTTAATTCTCTGCGGATTCGTGTATTTGTCTCCTTGATAGTCGGGCAGGTAACCAGGTTGGTTATTTGAGTCTGAAGAAGAAGAATATACAAAAATAACGATAGAAGAATTACAAAAAATTTAAAAAAACGTAAAAAACCTACTTTGAGCCAGAGAAACGGCCGCCAAGGCAGAGAGCAGAATCAGGGACCTAAGAAAAATTAAAAAATGAAGAGAACTAGGTATAACTTTTTAACGTTAAAAACTTACCGATACATCTTGCAGCGTAGGGCTGGGGCAGATTTTAGGGGACTGTAGGTGAGTGACCCGAGCCTTTAAATAAGAAGTGTCTACAGCCTCTTCTCGCATTTCTCTGTTAGCTTTTCGGCCCTTCCCTGCCCTAACCAGCAGTGCCATCCTAAACAATGCCCTCCCCAGAGGTGGGATGCACCCGGACCCACCCCTCTGCGGAATTTTGATGTTTGTGAATTGCATACAATTGTAAATAGGTGAGCATTGGACATTTTTTTTCGCAGGAAATGGTTGCATGTTTACATGCGGTTTGACGCGATTTCCGGTCGCTTCCGGCTCAATATAGCTGAGACCCAGCCGGAATTGAACCCGAACGATTTTCGTTCAAGCTTCCGGATGGCCGGAAACTTACCGGATCGGCTCGGAATTGACCTAAGCGCTTGTCTGAAAATTGAATCAAGGCTACGTACCGGATTCCGGCCAATTTCCTCTTGAAATTAACTGGAAATACCGGAAATCAACAGCCAAAAATTCTTGGTTTTCGTCACTTCCGGAAACGGCCAAAAATTTCGTAAAAAAAATCTTGTTTTTTTGTATAACTTTTTCGAACCCCGGCTTGCGATGTCTACCGGATTTCGGCTTATTTACCGGAAATCACTACTGAAAAGCTTAACGTCTCAATAACACCGATATGCACTTTAAGCGCCATTGAATTCTTTCCGGAACTCAACTGGAAAGCGTTAAATGCTGCGTCCATCGTCAGCTAAAAATTTTCTGGGCCCAAAATCAGCTAAAACGGATCAAATCAATTGATTACGCTAGGAAAATACCATGATTCTTTCATAATACCGGTCGTACACGTTTACGGTAGGTATTCTTATCTTAACGCTTGGCCTATTTTCGGCATTTTTCAGTTGGCAGCTTCATCAGATTCCCACTTTTTCCAGACACTCACAGGGGTCATCAAGGGTCCACTCATACGCCTCAAAAAACATTCCCTAGCCCCGCTCTCTCTCTCTCTCTCTCTCTATCTCTCTCTCTCTCTCTCTCCCTCTCTCTCCCTCTCTCTCCCGCCCACCGGGTTATGAGGGCCGCTAAGGTGAAGAAGATACCCACGACAAATAGATGGCCAAATCCGCCAAGTGGTCGAATGCTAGACTCGTTAGTGGCCGTTCAGCTGCTGCTCGAAGCCGGGGAAAATAGAAAAATTCCGACACTGTCCGTTCGACGCCCACCACTTGAAGGCCAGAAAACATGGCTTACCAGGGCATGTCAGCTGGGAGGTTGTCAGCTATTTTTGGTGTGCAACAAACATCGAATTTGGGAGGGTTTTGGTTTTGGGTAGCTGGGTAGGCTAGCAGAGAGCATTTGCGGAATTTGTGATGAGAGAGACAGAAAGCAAGAGAGAGAGAGAGAGAGAGAGAGAGAGAGACAGAGAGAAAGAGAGAGCATACGAACCTCGCGAATCCTCAATATTTATTTATTGCTTTGGTTACAGTAATCACCCAAGATCACAGGAGCATATACACGGGATGTAAATCGACGACTACACGTTGACACATTTTTTGCAAATCAAAAGCTCTAGCTCAGCTCGAAGCCCGTCTCCGAGTGGATGGCGTAGCGCAGTTTCTGAAGCAGGGTGCTCTTCTTCGAGTAGTTGGGCAACTTCAGCAGGTTGAAGCAGGTCGAGGCGGTTGGGAGACTAAAAGAACAGGGTAAAGGCTACCATATTTTCTTACCGCCCGGGGGCTTCCTTGCGCTTGATGGCCAAGAAGCCGCGGACGACGGAAGCTAGGGTGTCGCCTTGGTCCTAAAAGCAGGAGGTTTGGGTTTAAAGGGACAGTGACAGCTGATAGACTCACGCTTACGCTTGTTAGCTTAAGCTGAGCTCAGGCTTTACTTAAGCTTAGCTTAGAATTAGCTTAGGCTTAGCTAAGGCTTAGCTTAGACTTAGCTTAGACTTAGCTTAGGCTTAGTTTAGACTTAGCTTAGGCTTAGCTTAGGCTTACTACTCCTTCCCTACCTGATCATCCGAAACCTCGACACATCTGATCGAAAATGGCGGCTCCAAATATGCAAATCCAAGCAACGGGCCCCGTGAGCATGAAGTAACAAACTAAACGCGAAAGTTTGTTTTTCAGTAACTTCCCGATACCTTTAAAAACAACCTCCGCTCCTCGGCCGTGAAATCACTCTCCAGGATTTGCCACAACCATTTGATAAGCCTAAAATTGAAGTTGAATACGCTTCGGATACTTCGAACTAGCGTTTTAATGAGATTACAGCTGACCTGTGATTTGAGTGGAATCCACCGTAGTACTGTACATGCTTCCGAAGATCCCCGAGATCGATGTCGCTGGAAAAGGGGGATGGAAAAGATAATAAGCAAACTGCTGCTCAATCGGGAACTCAAGGATGAATTTAAATTTCAGAGGTTGGCTTGGGTTCAGAGACGTTTTTTTGGAAAAAAGCAAATATTTCGCTACGGCCGGGGGTCGAACCCGGGCCCCCGCTCGGGAGGCGCGGATGCATACCAGTCAGCCACAGCTACAACCTGGCGAGGGGGTGAGGGGCGCCCGACGCCGCAAAGGAGGGAAATTGCCTGCCACGCCACGGGCAGGCAGTGCGCGCGGTCGCTACGTCCATAGGGTGTACACGTTGGGACGAGTACACGGCCCCTCCCTGAACGTGCGCTTTAAGCTGCGTTTACAAGTTAAGCTTTAAAACGAAGTTTAAACGCCCGATTATAAACCTTAAAGTTAAGGTTGACGGTCAAAAGTTGAAGCTATAGGTCATGCTCAAGCCAAAGCTCAAATCGAAACGTTGAGGCAAAGTTAAAGCTCAAATCTGGAGCGAAAACCAAAAGCTCCAGCCCATAGCTGATGCCCAATGTACAGTGCAAAAATTATCTCTGAGAAACTGAACCCTCGCGCTCAAAGCTAAGGCTCAATAAAGCCCTTTATTACCTCGAGCTCCCCGAAATCAAATGCTGTAGCTCGTGGGGTGAGAACAGAAACAGCCACTCGCGGCTGAGCACCGACTGGAACCCGTCGACGAATGCCTAAAATTTACTGAATATTAATTACGATAAAAAGTCTGAAAAGTCGAAAAAAAGCCTCCATACCTTTTGCTGGTGCTTCGTCTGAATGGACACCCGATACTGCGCCATTTTGTGGATGTAGAAGAGCCTAAAAATGGTAAATCCAGGGCCAAATTTGCTACAGTACGTGTTCTCGTTCGTCACAGCCACCGCTCTTCCACCCGGGACCAGATCTATCGTAGTCAGGGAACCGAGAAAATCCTCATCGATCGAAAAGGTGAGGGCGAGATCGGAGACGTCACCGGTATCCTTGTAGCTAAAAATATAATGTTGATCTCTCTCGCTCTCTTGCTCTCTCTCTCTTTAAATTAAGTTACCGTTTAACGTATGTCAAATTTTTGTACAGCTCCGGGTCGAGAGTGGCCAACTCGTCGAAGGAGGAGAGGGGCCCGGAGCCGAGGACCTGAATTTGTAGCTTGTAGCCCTTTTCTCTCTCTATCTCTCTCTAGCTCTCGCTCTCTCTCTCACTCACTCTGAATACGTACCGAAGCCAACAACGCCGGCGCCAACTGCACATCGATCACCAGCCCTTCATACACGGCTTTGGCCAGTAGACGACCAACATAGTTAAACAGGGAAAGATGGTCTTCATTGATCGACGACGTCGCCGAGGGGTACAACTGACCGGAGGAGCCCGTCTAAAGTATCGGCTCGGAACTGAGTCCGTCAGCTTACACCAAACAAGCTGAGGGCCGGGTCGAAAACCTGGCGCAACGTTATCTCGAGGAACTCCTTGAAGACACCGTCCTGGTCGATACCGGCTTCATCAAGACCCTATAAAAGGAATTGATAGAGCGTGAGTGAGAGAGAGAGAGCGAGGGTGAGAGAGAGTCGTACCTGTTGATTGACAAACCGGACGCGTATCGTGTGCCGGAGAGCGGCCGGGGTCATCGGAGCCAGCTGACGATATCCATCTTCGACAAGCCGATTCCGGCATATCGTAATCATATTCGGGGCGTGGTGGCGGGTGTTCTGAATACGTAGTATCATGGAATTCACAGTTTCTAGGCCAGTAGAAGCGGAAATTTCAGCTGATGCAGTTAAAAACGATGCGGTCGCGTTGCGGCTTTGGTTATCTTTTTCTCGCTCTTCTCTCTCTCTCTCTCTCTCTCTCTCTCGCTCTCTCTCTCTCCCTCTCTCTCTCTCTCTCTCTTTCTCCCTCACTCTCTCCCTCTCTCTCGTATTAACCAGCATACCTTATCAGTCTGTACCATCCGTCGAAAAAGCACCATCCGTTCCTTCAGGGAAGTCAAGTGGCTCATTTGCTCCATCAGAAATAACCCGCGTTCGGTCTTCTTGTCGAATTCGCTTGTCAGCACTGAGCTTTTCACATCACTAAGTTGGCATATTAGTAGTTTTAGGCTTCAGATATATTACCTGGCATGCCAAAAATTGGGATCCCTCGTGAAAGACCGTCGCGAATCCCGGGCGTGCAGGTGGGAATTCAGGTTGTGGACCGAATGGAAGAGGGCCATGGCCCTTGGGTCTTTTAGATCTGGAAATAGAGGTTGTGGGAGAGAGATTGAGAGAGGGGGGAGAGTAATAGAGAGAGAGACAGCGAGAGAGTGGCAGCGAGAGAGCAAAAGGCAGTGGGAAGAGAGAGAGCGAGAGAGAGTGAGAGTTAGGGGGAGAGAGGGAGACAGATAAGAAACTTACCAATCAATCCATTCCACACCACCCGGAAGCAGAACAGATTTGAAAATTGAGCGATTTCGCAGAGCATTTGCTGTGAGAATGGTATCCCTTTATCATACATTTCTTCTTCGTCAAGGATTCTGAAAAACTCGGGTGTTAACGGGGCTGAGAAAGCCTAAAATTATCTCAAAACGTTTGCCAGCTCTCCAACCGCAGCTTAAAATACCCCGGATCATTATAAATCGGAAACTAAGGTGTTTTTTTTTGGCTTCTAGCCGTTCCATTTATCGCATTTATCTTCCTGTCACGGTTCCTTTAAAAAAATTCTTAACGAGACTCACGAGATTGTCAGAGCACTAGCATCACAGAAGAGGTGCAGCGGAGCCAGATGTGGTGTGCACGGATCGGTGGAGTAGTAGGATAGGAAGATGGGTAGTGGGCCGCTTTCAGAGCTGGACGAGGCATGGTTTTCTGGATTTAATTAAAGTCCAGAAATTGAACTCTAAATTACCAGAACTTTTTAAATACGTCCAAAGCGGCACGAGGAGGGTATCTTCGCGGCAGATGCCTAAAAACTCGAAAATATGAGTGTAATAACCCTAGTTCGTTTTCGTTCTCTCCCTCTCTCTCTCGCTTTTTCTCTCTCATATCCCGCTCTCTCTCTCCCGCGCGCTCTCTCTCTCTCTCTGACTTTCTCTTTCGCTCTCTCTCTCTCTCTCTCTCTCTCTCTCTCTCTCTCTCTCTGGCTTTCCCTCTGACTTTCTCTTTCTCTATTTCTCTTTAGCTTTCTAACAATAAAAACATACCTGACAAAATCTCCGATCTAAATTGCGAAAATGTGCTCAACGCATTCATAAACAGCTGACAGACGATGGTGGTCATCGACAGCGGCCGGTTGAGGGACACCGTCTCTTCTGTCACCCCAATGCTTCCGATCTTCTTCCAGAGCCCTAAATCATGGGTCCTCAAGGAACATTGAAGCCAAATTTTTGGCACACTAATGGCCTCTCCGACCCCTCAAACTTACGCTGAATCGCATGCCCAATTTCACTCGCTTCCCCGCGAATTTTCTTCGATTGTTCGGAATTTGGATCGATGCTGGGGAGGAGCTGAACGAATAATAAATTTAACTAAATTTTTATAGCTCTAGAAAGACAAATATGCAATAAAATAAAGCTATTGTCAAAATTTCCATACTTTTCCAAAGAGGCAGTTCGTCAACTGGCGACCCCACAGAAATCGCAGCTGCCGGGAGACGTGCGGGATTGAGGCTTCGCTACTGAAAGAACCCTTGAATTTTGACTAAACTTGGAAAGCTAATTTCAGTGCATTTGAAAGTATGATCTCTCGATTAGGTGCCAAACTCTCACTTCCATGCCCCCTTAAAACTGACCCCGGGCTCAATCTCGCCTTGTAGCCCCCAAACACCGGATGCCAGTACGTTCGGCTGCATTTTTCGTTCTAAAAATTCTATTAAAAAAGATAGAAATCTCCGGACCTTTTGTAAAATGGCCCCACGGCAAATTTCCATCAACTGGTTCAGGATGCGGGACCAATCGAGGAGGTGCTCAACGAGGAGCTGGCAGAAAAAATATATTTTCTAATTAATTTTTGATTACCAAATTATTCAAATCGCCCAGGTGGCACAGGTTGCCAATTAGATTCAGCGCCTTGACGGGGTCGAGGGACTTGAGGGCTTGGTGATCTTTCTAAAAAATATGGCTGCAAGCAGGGTTCGCACTGGTCGCACTCTCTCTCTCTCTCTCTCTCTCTCTCTCTCTCTCTCTCTCTCTCTCTCTCTCTCTCTCTCTCTCTCTTCTCTCTCTCTCTCTCTCTCTCTCTCTCTCTCTCTCTCTCTCTCTCTCTCTCTCTCTCTTTTTCTCACTCTCGCTCACTCTCTCTCTTTCTTTCTCTCGCTCTCTCTCAATCTCTCTATCGCTCTCTATTTCGCTATCTCTCTCTCTTTCTCTCTCTCTCTCTCTCTCTCTCTCTCTCTCTCTCTCTCTCTCTCTCTCTCTTTATTCATCAACTTACCAAAAACACGCCCAAAATTTGCACCAACAATTTTGACGCCGTAAGCAGTTCCAGGGACTAAAATATTTATTTTTTCTTATCCAAATTTTCCAACTTACGCTCTTCGACAAATGCAACAACAACCCGGGCGCCGTGAAGACGTGCAGCGCAAAAATGTGCATCAAATCCGAAGGCGGAGGGTCGGCTTGGAGGGGCTAAAATACAGACAGAGATTAAAATTTTCAAGCAATATATACCTTGAAAAGCAACAGGAACAGCGCGTTGACAGTCTCCAGGCTGGTCAGCGGGCGTGCCTCGTTGACGGCTAGGTAAAGGGAACCCTAGGAAAGTATTGAGAGTTAGCTTAAATAGTTAATACCGCAATTTTCAGATAGTTTTCCGGGTCGTGGAGAGGGGCAGCCATTTTTGAGCATAGCGAGTTGAGGATCTAAAACAACATTTTTTAAAGTCAGTCGGATTAAAAGGATCGGCAAGGCGCAGCTATGAATTTTTTTACGACACGCACGCAACGCCCGCGACACACAACGCGCATGGACGCCTTATCTAGATTCGCTCGAATGGAGTCCGTTATCTTACCGGGTAGAAAAATTCACCAAAATACTCGCCAGAGCAAGGCGAACATTTTGGTATACTTTACAGAGTTGCAGACCAACAGGGGCCTGAGATACAAAGGTGAGCCCAGGAGGGGGATAAACTGCGCTCTGACCTCTTCCCAACGTAATTTTTGAAATGTTGACATATTTTTATTAAGGTATTTCTGAATACTTTTATTTCTTAAATACCATTTTCAAAATATATGATTCACGCTGAAAATTACCTGCTGAATAGCCGCGTTCCCCTTGACGAGCGCCCACGAAGATGTGGAGTTGAACACGACAGCCCAATGGACCAGGGCTTGCCAGCATTTTACTTCGCTCACTTTTTCACCCTGGAAATTGTTAGTTTGATTTTTAGCGGTCGAATTGGAAACTATAAAATTGAAAACTTTAATCAAAAGCTATAACACACCTCGATTTTGGCCAGAATTCCCGGAATTTCCGTATAAATACCATTGACGAGCCGCCTCCCGTCTTGCAATCTTTCTTTTTGCAGAAATATCGCCGCCAAATTTTCGTTCTTATTTGATGACCCGAGGGAATGAACCATGTAGCGACATGTCAAGGAGAGCTCCTAAAATAAATTGTAAAAAATTGAATTGGACAATATTTAGTAGCGGGTAGCTTACATTTAATGGCATTAACGTGAAGCTAGCTAAATTAGTATATTTTTAAATTAACTTACAAATAGATCTCGTGGATATTCGGCGTATCGAATAAATGGAAGCGCGATTTTTAGAAATTCTGAATTCGGCAGCGACTTCTTCTCCACCGTGTTCCCGAGCTTCTCGAACGACGCCAGGGATGTGCGGATTTTCTCGCTAAAATTGATAAAAATGACCTGGGAAACCTCAAAGAAAATCTGCTAGCTTGCCTTTTGAAGGAAGATCGCAAAGAACCCCTGCTAGCCTGCCTTAAAGCCTTAAAGGCTAAAGAATTTTTGCTAGTCTGCCCTTTGTAGCTTAATTCTATGAATTTCTGCTAACGGGCGAAACCCCGAAAAGCGGTGCCCACTCTGCCTTTCCTGGCTGAAACTTAAAGAATCTCTGCTAGCTTGTCTTTTGAAGGAAGTTCGCAAAAAATCGCTGCTAGCTTGCCTTTTAAAAGAAGATATCAAGGAATCACTGCTAGCTCGCCTTTCGAAACTAAATCCAAAAGACCTTGGCTAGTTTGCCTTCCAAGGCCATTCTCAAACAAACTCCGCATGCTTACCCCCTCGCAGCTGATGCTCAAAGGATATCTGCTAGCTTGCCACCCGTCTAACATTTCAAAGAATCACTGTTAGCCTGCCATCCAAGCTCAAAATTTTAAAAGATCAATGCTAGCTTGCCACCGCACCGCAAAATCCTAAGGGATCATCATTAGCCTCCCTTTCCGGGCCAAACCTCCAATGGTCTCTGCTAGCCTCTCGTCCCATCAAAAATTGTAAAAATCTCTGCTGGCTTGCCTTGGAAAAGCTCAACATCTTACGCAGATCAAATCCTTACCATAGCTCTTTCCTGAATCGTTGCCTCGCCAAAAATCCCCGCACATCCGCCTGTAGTAGCGTTACTTTCGCAGGGTCCATTTTGTCACCGCATTTCTAATCAAATCCAGAATATCTAAGAGTCCAAAATCGATAAAAAATATGCATTAATGGGAGCTCCCAATCAATTCGACTACAATCTACACCTATGACGACTGGAATCAATTTATTATGGCACGAGCGACTTTGGCGGAATATGGCAGCGGCAAGGGAAAAATAGGACAGACCTGGGAAAGCAAAAAATCAGATCTGGTAAATCTCAAAAAAATACATGGAAATAACAATAATACGGTATTTACAAATAGCAGAAAAAAGGACAAGTTCAGAAAGGTCATATTTTTTCATACAGTAGTATGGGTCCGACTGCCGCGATGTTGTTGCAAGGCTTCTTGCTCGTCGCGGGCCAGCTGAAATGGATTTATTTTTTGGTTTCAAGGGATTGTGAAGTCATTAAAGTGATCGGTCAGGCAAGCCCCAGATTTTGACGCATCGCGACACGCAACGCGCGCTTCGATTAGCGTTCGAAAAAGTGGTGGAATCGATTATGCAAGGCAACTACAGGCGCGGCGTCAGGCGGCGCGGTCGCGTTGCGTCTCGCGGTTGCGGTCGGCTAAAGGAAATGCAAAGTTCCTTGATACCCCAACGATTTTACGGCGAACACTGCACGCAACACGACACGCAACGCAGCGCGCAACGCAACGCGCAACGCAACACGCAAACCTACACGCAACGCGTGACGCAAGGCGACACGCGACACGCAAAACGATACGAAACGCGACAAGCAACGCGGCACGCAACGCTCTAGCTTTGGAACACGTATTGTATTAGCGGTCAGGTGCTATCGCATTGCGTGTCGCGGTCAGCAAAATCGGGATCCATAGCCTTTTAAATTCCTGAAATTATCTTCCCAAGCCTGCTAGCTACATTTTCTAAACAGCACTGACCTTGTCTTTCCTAGCGGACCCACTTCCGGAAGCTCGGTGACCGCGTTGCATCGAATTCATCACAATTGCTGTGGATTTTTCGTCTGAAAACTCATTTTTGTGAGGACAATATTTATTTTTTGTTCTATTTCTGTTTCTATACACAGCTTTGAAAAATTTACTTATTTTATTACTTATTTGAACTCACCGCTCTGATTAACGGTCGACTTCTTCTTGCCCCTCATCTTCCGCCTTGCGGCGATCAGGTCGATCTGGCGTTTGGTGCGCGGGATCCGGATTCGCATGAAGCAGCAAACGATTACGACTGAAATTGAGGCTTTTCTAGGGACTTTATGTTGCTACTCTTCCGCTTAGGCTTGCGCCTAAGTTAAGGGTTACTTACCCATAACAAGGAGCACACCGGAAACCAGCGCGATGAGCATCCATAATCGGAGTCCTGGGGCTACATATTCGTCCAGGGCTGACAGTGTCTCGTCACCGTTCATGGCACTGCGTCGGAATCTTGGGTCTGAAATTAAATACTTTTTAGTTATCGTAGTTTAATAAATTCACGAAGAGTTCTTCGTTGAATTTGCAGAATATCGAAATAAATTTAAGGTAATCGGAAAACCCGCGGAAAAAACTAACTTTTTCTGTTAAACATTGTTGAAAACGGTTCAATAAATCAGTATCTAGACAAAAAATAATCAAAAACTATTAAAATTAAGTAGATTTATATAAAATAAAAAGTAAAAAAATCCAGACCGAGTTGGCCCGAACTAACCTGGGGCGGAAGCTCGGCTGGTTGGCCCAGGAAATCGAGGGTGCCCAGGCGGGTGTGTGGCCCATTGGCACACAGCTGTGACCCCAGGCTATATGGAGCAAGAGATTGGCCAAGGGGAGGAGGTGCAGAGATGGGGAGTACTACACTCCCCTAGGCAGGGCAGGTCTATCCGCTATCTCGTGCCCCCATTACGCCATGAAAATCGGCGCGGGCGCGGAGGGTGGCGGATGTTTTCCTACCCTTTCAATATCGTGAAATTATGGTTATTGATTTTATTACCCCTTTATGAATTTTTACATTTTAATGAATTTTAAGGTTTTACGAGAGAATACTTTTTCACTGGGATGAAAATAATATTTTTTCTAGATTGGCACTGGGTACTGTTGCATTATCAAGGGGAGCGGAAGCTTACCAGGGGAAACGACTTTTTCTTAGTAAACCATTTTCATAATATAAATAGAGGAAGTGTTTGTAATTTGTCTACCATGGCTAAACGGAAAATTTTTATAACTTTTATTAAAAAAAATAGGAGTTTTCGACCAAAAATGGGCAATTTTTGTCCAAAATTTCGATTTTTTTTCAATTTTAGTACGGGTTTTTAGATATTTACCCTGGTTAGGACGGTTAAATTTTATTAAAAACACTATTAAAATACTAAAACGTTTTTATACCTTCCTGGACTTACCAAAAAAAATTTTATCCTTATGCAAATTTCGCAAGTTAGTAAGTAAAACGCGGGAATCTCTAAATTCAATTAATATTAACCTATCGATTTCCATGGCTTCCGAGTCTCTGATAAGCATCTGTTAATGTCATAAAATTCATATTGATTTTTTTTCGTCGTGTGAGGCCTCACATTAATGCGTTTACATTGTGATACCTTTGAAAATCAAGCAGATGGTCGTATCAATCACCTAAAAATTTCGGTAAATCTCATTTTTAAGAACAAAGCAACTCCACGATGTCCTCCCGGCAGCCTACGCGCCGCTCCGATGCGGACGGTCCCCGGGGGAACAGCAGGATGTTCGCGTTTATGAGGCAGTCGACAGGGCCCGAGAGCGGCGTTGGTGGCGGTGGTGGTGGAGGAGGGGCACGAGGGCGAGGAGGAGCTGTCAATAATTCCACTCCAATCGCTCATAACACCCGATCCGGACAAGGGAGAAGGCAACAAGCTGCACCTGCTGAGAAAGTTGAGGTAGGTTCAAGTTTTAGAATTTTAGGGGACGGTAAGCTTTCCTCATTCGCGACACGCAACGCGAGTTTTCAGGCGCCGCGTGTCGCGGGTGGTAAAATCTTAGCGAATCCATAGGAATAAAATCTACCTATGTTCAGACTTGTCTGTCTCTTTAAAGACAATTGCTTCCTTTTCAGGAACTCCACGATGTTGACGAGATCATCGCCCAGTTCAGCGACCTCACCGTACGCGGCAATCGCTCGGCGCAACAAATTAGTAAGTCCGAAGCTTGATTTTGTTTGGTATAATAATTTTCATATGAAGTTTGGATTTTTAGAAGCTAATTTGGCCGCTTGTAAATATTTGGAAGAAATGGATGAGGATGAGTGGATGCAGTTGAGTGGGGAGCTCGTCCAGGTGGCTTTCGATGAGGCTGAGACCGACTTCATTGTCGATGTTATCGGGACTTTATTGAGTAGGCTTAATTTTTTCTCTATATTTCTCTCTCACTCTCACTCTCTCTCTCTCATCGTCTCTCTCTGTTTCTCTCTCTTGCTCACTCTCTGGTTCTCTCTCCCCTCTCGCCTAGAAATCCAAATCCACTAGAACCTACTTTTCAGAGCACCAACTTTTCTGCGATGTGATGCGCGCCGAGCTTGCCCAAGTCTCCGCCTCGTATATCATGGGGGTACCTTAAGGTTATATAGCCTTCAAGTGACCATTTTCAGGGTAAAACCGACCATTCGGTTCCGAAGCTTTTCGGGACGCTACTATGCGCAACATGGCCAAGAGGTGCAACTAGGGATACGGAGGTAAGAATTAAATCCGGCGGCAAAATCCATAGACTTATCTGGCTCAGCTCTTTGAAAGCTGGATTTATACTGTACGCGATGTTATTTGAAAATAGTTTCTATTTTTTTTAGGCGAGCAACCCGGTCCTGTTCATGACCATGCAAATCGTCCAGGGCTGGCTGATCGTCCTCGAGCAGTCCGAGCAGGAGCCCATTGTGAGTCTGAATTTATCGGCGCAGAAACGAATTTTAGAAAACGCACGAGAACACGCAGAAGCGAGACTTTGATCACCTGAAGGATGAGGAAGCCTCCGGGAGTGAGGATGATGGCGAGCAGGAGGTGGTGGTAGAAGCTGAGCCGGCTGAAGGGGAATCGGCAAGTCCGGTAAGTCAAAAGCAGAACTGGAAAGTGATAGAAATGGAGAGAGATATGAAACGAGAGAGAGAGAGAGGGAGAGAGACACGTCTAATTTCTTGTCTCAGGAAATCGTTGAAAGCTGTGCCCGCGCCGTGTGCTGTATCGTGACCACCCAGAAGCGCTCGCTTTGGCTAAAGTGGCCGACGCTCTTCGATCAAATTTATCAAGCCATCCGCCCGCTCATCACACATTCCAAAGTATTATCGTGGTGAGTAAATCTTTCTCGCTCTCTCCCTCGCTCTCTCCCTCGCTCTCTCTCCCTCTCTCTCTCTCTCTCTCTCTCTCTCTCTCTCTCTTCGAAAGTTATATCCATTTTTCAGCGATACCAAAGCCGAACTCCTCAACACACTACTGATCCTTACCAAATCCACAGAACGACGGGCATAATTTATGTGATCTCTTTTGTGTTTTTTTTCTCGCCATTGTGGTTGTGCAAATTTTTCGATTCGAATAAAGGGTGTTGTCATAAATAGAAAAAGAATAGTGGTAGACACGGTAGTACGGTAGTTGCTTTCTTCACAGATTTGCAGAAATTCCAGGCAATTCTGGATTCTCGGCAACAAATGGGGCATTAATAAAACCCTAGAGAAATTCTGGAAGCCAGAATCCGTAAGCAGGTCTCGAAACGATGAATTTCTGCAGATATCGAGATCCAATTCCATTTCCGTTTTTGCAGCTTTTCAAAAGCTGCTTTTCCGTAATTAACCCAGAATCTGACGCGTCTGGGTGCCCTCTACAACCTCTCCGTTATGCAGGCTCTTTCAAAAATCATATGAATTTTTAAAGCCTGTCTGATTCACACCCAGACACAAGGAGCTGCACGTCTTCAGCTCATGCTCATCAAGCATCCGCGTCGTCAGATGCCCTTTTTAAATGACCCGGCTTTTCCGAGCCTTATAAACGCAAACGGGGCGGATGAATTTGGGCGGTGGTATGTTGTCGCTGCTTTTCGAGGCCTTCCCTCCCCCTCTCATCGCCGCGCAAAAATTGAAAATGACGCCTGCCCCGGACAGCCAATTGTTATGTCCCCACCCCGAGCTTCGTAGCCCGCGTTTTTTGAGGCTTCAAACAAGGAGGGGGCATGGATATTCTATGGTCACCAATTCTGCGCGTGGCCGGCTGCTGACTGCTATTTAGGGCGATATTTGGTCGACGGGATTCAAATCCTGATTTTCTTGGTGGATTTTTGGATTTTTTTGCTCAAAATTGTTGGACATTTCAGCTCATTTCACATTTCCTTAGTCCTTGACCTTTAAGGGAAAGACAAAGCTGATTGTAGACTTTCCTGATCTGTCGGGATGTTGACTGTCTAGACGTCATCTGTCGATTTTCACCTTCGGGATTTTGGCTGTCAAGATTTTCGTCTGTCGGGATTTTAGTGGTCGGTATTTTGGCTGTCGGTATTTTGGCTATTGGGATCTTGGTTTACTGAGACCTCCGAGGTCGGCATTTTGGCCTGGAGAAATTTTGGTTCTTGGTGTTTTCTCCGTCGAGAATTTGGTCTGTCGGGATTTCGGCCTGTCGGGATTTTGGATGTAGGGATTAGGGCCGTAATTTTGAGATTTTGACGTCTACATAGCTTAATTTTTTTGAATACGCTGAAGCGTTGTTCATCTTTTTTTCTCGGCCCTAGATAATTTTCCGAAGCATAGCTTCAATCCACAGAAATCGTGGGGTCCTAAATTCTTCAAAAAGTTACTTCCAAAAATGTCGAAAATCCGCCTCGTGCTCTTGAGCGCTTCCGGTACCGTACACCCCTGTCGGGTTATCCGGAACCCCGGATCGCGTGCCAGACAGGGATTTTGTCGAGTTTTTGGCGGATTGGGGTTTCGAGGGAATTTTCGATATCATAGTGGCACGAGACAATTACCCATTCGAGGGTCACAGAAGGCTCGTCCTGGGGGCCGACGCGGGTGGGAAAATTAAAAAAAGCGCCCTGGATTCAGTCGCGCGAAAAAAACAGCGTCCGGGCTTCGTTGAGGATCTCAAGCTGACTCCTTCATTTATATGTCGTGTAGGGTTAGGCAACGTTAGAAATTTGGCCAGCTGTCAACGTTGCCCCTCCTAAGCGGTTTCGAATTCACTAAATTTTTTTGCAGTTTGCTATCTTTTCAATTGTCATTACCCCTTTCAAAGGCCGGTGCAGGCATAGCTAGGGATACTTATAGATTCATATCGATACGCAACGCGCTCAAACTCTTCTAGAATGCCCAATCGCTTAATGGCCCGTTATAGCTGTCGAGTTGCGGGCCCTTTGCGTCGCGGTGCCGCCGAATCCCGCGTATCAACCGCAAGACTCCACCAACTATTTTTTGCTTTTTTTTCTATAGATTTCCTATAGATCCTAGCGGCGCGGCGACACGCAACGCGCAGCTAGCTGTTTCTCCGCTAAAGTCTGGTAATACGTGGCGCAATGGAAGAGCGTGTGTCCGCGTTGCAGAGGTTTAGGTTTGCTTGCTTTGCGTGTCGCGGGCGGAGGTAAATCTGGAAGGTCCGTAGTTCGTTGCCTGAAACAGGCTTAGACATAATTTTTCATTTGTTTTTGCGCCGTCCCTAGAAATCGTCGTGGGTTTATGGATTTTCAGCTATCACCATCCCCTTAGAGCCAATTTCATAAGGCTTGTCCCAAATTTTCATGCCCGTTCGTTTATTGGGCGACCTCCCACCGAGACCCCCTTGCCATGGTAAAGAGATTAGCAATCGCGTTTCCCACCCCCGGCCTTTCCCGCCTGCCGTCCCTCCACTGCCTTTCTCTTCAACCTTTTTAGGCCATTTTCGGCCCTCGAGGCTCTCTATCGACTTCAGAAAAATAAGTCTATCTCGTGAACCCAGAACTTGGTAGGATCTATGGTTTTTGCCTAATTTTTGGGACGGTGATGATAAGCCCTTCCGGTTTCCGGAAACCGGTGTCTAGGTTAGTGCCGAGATGGTGTTTGGATTACGGTACTTTGGTCGTGTTTTAGTGAACTGCTTGAAGTTGAGGATACTATAGCACTATTTTTATAACCTTAAAGGACCATTGCAGCCCAAAAGAGCAAAGAGCAAAAGCTGCCCCTATTGCGCGAATAAAAGAAATAATGTTTTTAATACGATTGAATAAGCTCTTTATTGCACTTTTATCCTGAACCGGATCAAAAAATCCTTTTACGCGGCCGGATAATGAAATCGCGACGGGACCGGCACGCTATTTTTCGAGCTCTTGCCACGTTGCCAATCCGAGTTTCTGTCCTTTAAGGTTTAGGCTTAAGTTTCGACAGCTTTGATCTAAGTCTAAGCCTAAGCTAAGCCTAAGTTAAGCCTAAGCTAAGCCTAAGTTAAGCCTAAGCTAAGCCTGAGCCAAACGGAACCCAAGCTTTAGCCAAGCCAAGCCAAGCTTGAAAAACTACTCAACTCTCCCCAACACGTCTGAACCGTGTGAACGTCCGCCTCTTTCTGCCCTCTAAAACCCTAAGCCTACTTGCAAATGACGTTCGTAAGTGGTGGCTACTTACGGCCGGCCACCACGAGCAGCTCCAGCCCATGTGAACCGCCTGAAAAATTGATGAGTCCCAAACCTGGGGCCCAAAACGGTCCACAACCCGCCGGCCACCGGGGATTCCCCAGAATTTTTTAGGGCTTTTCTTTTGAAACGGTTTAGAAATGTTTTTCAAAGGTCTTGGAAAATTGTTCTTTTTTGAAAGGATTTTTAGGAATTTATGAGAGCGTGTTTTGGGAAATGACGAATAGCTGTCCGCTCCGGTGGCTAGTAACCCTGGCAATTTTGGGACCACTTTTTCCTCTTTAAATAAGATTTTTCCGGAGCCGTTCGTAATTTGTATATTATGATTTTCCACTTCGAGTTTTTGAGCTTATAACTTCGTCTAAAACTCTAATAAAATAGTCGCTCAGCACAATAAAAGTGACGGGGCAAGGGTAGCAGAGATTCTTTAGGAAAGGCAATCCGATATCAAACTTTAGGAAAAGGCAGGCGAGCAAGAATTCTTTAGGAAAAGGGGGCTGGCAAAAATTTTGGGGGAAAAGGCGGGCTAACAATGATTATTTAGGAGAAGGCAGGCTAGCAGAGAAAAACCGGGCTAGCAGAGATTTTTTTAGGACAAGGTAGGCTAGCAGCGATTCTCTAGGAAGAGGGGCACGAGCATTTCTTTTCGAAAAGTAAGCTAGCAGCGCTTCTTTAGGAAAAGGCAAGCTAGCAGAGATTCTTTAGGACAAGCGGGCTAGCAGAGATTCTTTAGGAAGAATGGGCTAGCAGATACCCTTTAGTTTTTTGTTCTAATAGCCGAAGTCGCAACTATTTTTCTAGGCTTCACAGCTCTGACGAAGCTATCCGAGCTGACGCATCCCATACGTAATTGTATCCACTCGGACAGCCGGGCGGTAAATATAATTCCCCTATGATTCCTTTGCTACGTGTGCAGAAGCATCAAAACCGAACACCCACACCCCGCAAGATTGCCTTTTGCCTTTTCAATTCCAAAAATTCCTCTCCAGCTGTTATTCCAATAGGGCCACTGCAGAAAAGGAAGGGCCCAATCTCGGGGGCCCAAAATTGGCCGCGTCCCTTTAATTGGGATATCCGTGGTGAGGTGGTTGTGGTGGCTAGGGGGTAATCGTAGAAGCTCGGTAAATAATCCAAGCCATAGATGGTAGAGGGGGGGGAGGCATATGCTTTTCCTTACCTACCTTCAGTTTTTCACCTGAAGCCATTCTCAAGAGATTCTCTCTCTCTCTCTCTCTCTCTCTCTCTCTCTCTCTCTCTCGCTCTCTCTCTCTCTCTCTCTTTCTCTTCTCTCTCTCTTTCTCTCTGTCTCGCACACTCTCTCTCGCTCTCTCGCTCTCTCTCTCTCAATCCTCTCTCTCGCTATTCATAAAATAGTATTTATCAAGATACGACTCACAGATCAGCCGAGCCGACCCTCGTGCAAAGGGCATCTTGGTAAGGACATTTTTCCAGATCACCTTTGAAATTTTCATATTTTTAAAAATCATTTTAAGCTCTCCAATACCTTTTTTCCTTTTGCTTTTGCTATCCAACTTCACGATTCCTTTAAATGAGCTCACAAGCCACAGAATCGACTTCTACCGCCAACTCGGTTCTAGACAACTACGCAAGGCGCATAAATACAGTGATCGGAACGTTTTAAGGAAGAATCTTAGGCTTCGTCTTACAATCTTACAATCTAATCTTGTTAGGCTTCGCTTTATAGATTCTTGGGCCTGGTATAGATATGTTAGAAGTAGGCCCAGTCTTGCGAAGCTCGCTGAATTTCGTAAGCTAAGAAAAATGATATAAAACCTTTTTTAACTTTCCTAAATAAAGAAAGTTTACTGACTAATTACACCTCATTAATTACACACACTCTCGATGTACACCCCAATTCCGTTAC